GACATAAACGTGTAAAACAGAGCACTAAAAGAAGTATTCTTAGAATAAACGCTTTTTAGCCCTTTACAGCGAGAATTGATTTCAGGCTGCAAATTGCAGCGGACATTGTACATAAGAATATTTTTACAAATTTAGCAATTAAAATGCGCTGAGCCATATCAGTGTTATTTCTTTGTTTTATGTATGGTTGTTTTAGTGTAGCTTTCTAAACATCTTATGTTGTAAATACTATTGTTAACTGATGATTAAATCCACGTTTATAAGATTAAGAAAACTAGCTTTCGAGAAAAGATATATGAAAGCTTGAATAAAAGTGTAGCAAAAAATGTAGAATAACTTCATCATTATTGCTATGAATAAAATTCACTGCTTGAAAATTTCTATTCTTCAAACGTATAATCTAGGTATAAAATATATAGATAAACAGAGTTGACAAAACTATTTGTGCACAAATGAAGAATTTCGTTAAACTTTCTGACATTTATTGCTTTTAGTTATATTGTAATAAACACATATAACATTAGTTCGTGTACATTTTAACATAATATTTTTTAAAAATAATCTGTGCCAGCATTAAGTGTATAAAAGCGGAATCTATTAAGCAGCGTGATCTTAAAAACTTTGAAAATTAGTTTTCCTATAAGTGTATTCCAGTCCACTTCACAATATTAAAAAGACAAAAATATGCATTGACGTACAATCAAAATATGTGACTTCAAGCTTTATTCTGTGAATGCAATCATCTAAAATTCAAGAAACGTAATCTTTCCTGCTTAGTTTAATTTATCTATTATGACTTAATATCTTTCGCACTATGGATTTAAGAATATTCTCCTAAAGCGTAAATCAGCAATAGCGTAAGATCTTAAAATGTGAACTGTAGAACAATAAAAACAAGCCAAACGTATGACAATATTATTGATAATTCAGGAATGTTAGTTGCTCAGTGTATGAACTTGTGTACGTTACATAAATTAGAAAATATAAAATTAACAAACTATATTCCTGTTGAGTATTTTAATATTATATAAAATGAATGGTTTGAAGCCAGGAGTATCATTATATGTTTTAGATCATGCAGGTTGGGAGAGTCCTGAGGTAAATTGTGGACTTCCTCTTTCGCATCAAATCAAGAATAAACGTCAGGTTTGCCTTATTTGCTGTTTGGTGAATGCGTCATCATATTGTGTGTAGCGGAAATTCGTGGGTGTGTACATGTCAATGAACAATTACGTTGATGTATGAACCCCTTAAAAAATACAGCAAACCTGACGTTAATCAATGTCCACTTTACTCTGAAGAGGACTGCCGCTAAAGTTGTCGAAACTTCAGTCAACTTTAATACCTAAAGTCCTTCTCAGCCCTCTACTAGCCTGGACGATCTAAATCTAGAAACATGTAATATTTTGTGATACCATTGTAAAAGAAGCATTCGTGCAAACAAAACAAAGATTGGGAGAATCTAGTGATATAAAGAAAAAATCTAGATGGCAGCAACGAGATTTTTTGGCATAATGAAATATGTATAATACAATACAAAATTAATTTATTTGAAACGTTGTAATGCATCATATAAGAACGTCAGCGTTACACAAACTTCAATTATCTGTGTATGAATTCAATAATAGAAATAGACTAGTCGTTTGTAACGCTAAAAATCGATGAAAACTTTAACCCTATCAAAGTAAAAACCAATAAGAAATTAAGAAGTTTCATGGTCGTGTAGTTGATATAAATCACACAAAAATGAATTACCATTTCTACCAGACAGTTATAACCTATATTTTACAAGCTTTTGAATAACTTGTATAGTAATATTTCGAAGCATTTCGGTTTTTACGTGTCTGCCCAAGAAAAGTATAAGTGTAATTTATTGCTTTCCCTTTCAAGTAGTTTCTTTAAAGTTTATAGCTTTTTTATATATTTTACATATAAGAAAACATTCCGAGTGTTATTTAACCATATATATTGTTTTATTAATAGCTAATAGCTATTCTTATGCGACGAAAATATATTTTTTATGTTTTCCTTTCATCCTGAAAGTTATAAAAAAATTCGAAGTTTCTAACACATTGCATCAAACTTTCGCCAAAGTGGAGTGAACATAAAAATCGACTTTAAATTTCCAGAGATTGATTTGCAACGTAAACGATCAAAATTATCAATGACGCCAAGAAGGCTTTGTTTTTTATCTAGTCGGCACGTATTGTGTAAGCAAAGAAACCAAAACAGGAGATTTCTATAGTATACTATTTAGTAAACTTTTTTAAAATTATAAATTCTGCCAATTTGCAAAATGGGTGGACAATGTTTTCTTATCCAGTCAAGAACTTATTGTATGTGTGCAGACAACCAAAATACCGATTTCTGTTTTATGGACTTTAATAGGGTTTTACAAAGAATATGAACAAGTCCTTTTCTTTCGGCAAAAGCTTTTTGTGTGTTTGTTATATTAATTTCTTTATCTTTAAGTGTTTCAAGCACTTAGTCACAATTAACTGTTGTTGAATAGAACACCAAACGAAATCTTCGGTTTGACATAAACGTGTAAAACAGAGCACTAAAAGAAGTATTCTTAGAATAAACGCTTTTTTAGCCCTTTACAGCGAGAATTGATTTCAGGCTGCAAATTGCAGCGGACATTGTACATAAGAATATTTTTACAAATTTAGCAATTAAAATGCGCTGAGCCATATCAGTGTTATTTCTTTGTTTTATGTATGGTTGTTTTAGTGTAGCTTTCTAAACATCTTATGTTGTAAATACTATTGTTAACTGATGATCAAATCCACGTTTATAATATTAAGAAAACTAGCTTTCGAGAAAAGATATATGAAAGCTTGAATAAAAGTGTAGCTAAAAATGTAGAATAACTTCATCATTATTGCTATGAATAAAATTCACTGCTTGAAAATTTTTATTCTTCAAACGTATAATCTACGTATAAAATATATAGATAAACAGAGTTGACAAAACTATTTGTGCACAAATGAAGAATTTCGTTAAACTTTCTGACATTTATTGCTTTTAGTTATATTGTGATAAACACATATAACATTAGTTCGTGTACATTTTAACATAATATTTTTTAAAAATAATCTGTGCCAGCATTAAGTGTATAAAAGCGGAATCTATTAAGCAGCGTGATCTTAAAAACTTTGAAAATTAGTTTTTCCTATAAGTGTATTCCAGTCCACTTCACAATATTAAAAAGACAAAATATGCATTGACGTACAATCAAAAATATGTGACTTCAAGCTTTATTCTGTGAATGCAATCATCTAAAATTCAAGAAACGTAATCTTTCTTGCTTAGTTTAATTTATCTATTATGACTTAATATCTTTCGCACTATGGATTTAAGAATATTCTCCTAAAGCGTAAATCAGCAATAGCGTAAGATCTTAAAATGTGAACTGTAGAACAATAAAACAAGCCAAAACGTATGACAATATTATTGATAATTCAGGAATGTTAGTTGCTCAGTGTATGAACTTGTGTACGTTACATAAATTAGAAAATATAAAATTAACAAACTATATTCCTGTTGAGTATTTTAATATTATATAAAATGAATGGTTTGAAGCCAGGAGTATCATTATATGTTTTTAGATCATGCAGGTTGGGAGAGTCCTGAGGTAAATTGTGGACTTCCTCTTTCGCATCAAATCAAGAATAAACGTCAGGTTTGCCTTATTTGCTATTTGGTGAATGCGTCATCATATTGTGTGTAGCGGAAATTCGTGGGTGTGTACATGTCAATGAACAATTACGTTGATGTATGAACCCCTTAAAAAATACAGCAAACCTGACGTTAATCAATGTCCACTTTACTCTGAAGAGGACTGCCGCTAAAGTTGTCGAAACTTCAGTCAACTTTAATACCTAAAGTCCTTCTCAGCCCTCTACTAGCCTGGACGATCTAAATCTAGAAACATGTAATATTTTGTGATACCATTATAAAGGAAGCACTCGTGTAAACAAAACAAAGATTAGGAGAATCTTGTGATATAAAGAAAAAATCTAGTTTGCAGAAACCATATTTTTTTGCATAATGAAATATGTATAATACAATACAAAATTAATTTATTTGAAACGTTGTAAGGCATCATATAAGAACGTCAGCGTTACACAAACTTCAATTATCTGTGTATGAATTCAATAATAGAAATAGACTATTCGTTTGTAACGCTAAAAATTGATGAAAACTTTAACCCTATCAAAGTAAAAACCAATAAGAAATTAAGAAGTTTCATGGTCGTGTAGTTGATATAAATCACATAAAAATGAATTACCATTTCTACCAGACAGTTATAACCTATATTTTGCAAGCTTTTGTATAACTTGTATAGTAATATTTCGAAGCATTTCCGTTTTTACGTGTCTGCCCAAGAAAAGTATAAGTGTAATTTTTTTGCTTTCCCTTTCAAGTAGTTTCTTTAAGGTGTATAGCTTTTCTTATATATTCTATATGTAAGAAAATATGCAGAATGTTATTTAATCATATATATTGTTTTATTAATTGCTAATAACTATTCGCATGGGACGAAAATATATTTTTTATGTTTTCCTGTCATCCTGAAATTTATAAAAAAATTCGTAGTTTCTAACACGTTGCATCAAACGCTCGCAAAGTTGGAGTGAACATAAAAATCGACTTTAAATTTCCAGAGATTGATTTGCAACGTAAACGATCAAAATTATCAATGACGCCAAGAAGGCCTTGTTTTTTTATCCAGTTGGTATTGTGGATGTGAAGGAAACCAAAACATGAGATTTCTTAAAATTATCAATGATGCCAATTTCCAAAATGGGAAGACAATGTTTTCTTATCCAGTCAAGCACTTATTGTACGTGTGCAGGCAACCAGAATACCGATTTCTGTATTATTACTTTAATGGAGTTTTACAAAGACTATAAAGAAGTCGTTTTCTTTTGGCAAAGCTTTTTGTGTAATTTTCGTACCGCGCATGTGCAAACTAGTCTTTATATTTCGTGCTGCTGATCGTTTTCGCCATTCGTATTTGCGACTTGAAAATTGAGCAACAAGATAACATTTCGCATATTTTTAAAATTTTAAGGCACACGGTGCTTGAGGTAAGTTCGTTATTTTATATTTTATTTTTTTATTTCTCTTGCATTACTTTGTGGTTTATGCAAAAAATATGTTTACTATAATAGCTAATATCCATGCTTTGCCTAGATGCGGTGACAGTATTCTAAATGTACTTTGTCAAAAAGTGTTTCGCATAAGATTATGACATCCTTTATTTATCGCGCTAGTTTTATTTAATTAATCGTTTACAAATCTCACTACTATGCACAGAAAAAAAACTTTGTTTTTATCACAAAAGTTTAATGCCTTTTTTAAATGAACTGTATTATGCAAAGGTGTAAAGAAGAATTTTTCTTCATAATTTTTAAAAATGAGAGACAGTCAATGCCTTTAGCAGGCCTTATTTTTGTATTACTTTCCAAGTATGATTACGTCAATTATATTTCGTTTCCTCAATTAATACACAAATCGTGATGCAACTTACCTGTGTTTACTTTAGTTCGGTGCACTGAAGTCTGAGTGATTTGATGTCTAAAACGTAACGGAAAAAGCAACTCAATTAAATTTTATTATAAACCTTAAATGCATTAGACTGGTTTAACATGATGTCATAATGACAATGCAACAAACACAAAATACATATCAAACACTTGGTGTGACGTTTGTATATCCATTGCTCTGCTCTACTGCTTTGTGCTGTGGTGTTAAATTATAGGCAGTTTCAAAATTTTTATAAGTAATAAATAACGTCTCTGTTGATATACAAAATAAGAAAATTATTGTAATCGTTAACTTCTGATACGTTTTAAACTATGAGTACAAATTCAATAAATCTAAAAGTTTGGACTTTTCTCTTGAAATGTGAGAAATGTAATAATTATCAATCATTTAAGAATTTTTATAAAATTCTATTGGCTCAGGAGAATTTAGATAAATATAGTCGTATCATGTGCCTTGATTTATCGGTTGAGTGAGTAACTTATCACATATTTTAAAAGTACGAAAATCATTTTAAAAGACGAAGTGTAAAAATAGGTTATTAACAACAACAAACGATTAATAGTAAGAATATCTCTAAATTTGAGTAAAATCATATTTATTGCAACTTTAACAAGTAAGCACATAAATTAAGCCGCGTGGCTTATATGCAAGAGTATTAGACAGATTGTTGTAGGAAGTGCAACGTTCCCTATCTTTTGTAAAATATGCCAAAATCCAAAATGTCCGTCCGTAAACTGATTAAGGAGAAAAAATTTGGTCTATAACATTCAGAAGACAAGCGTCGGTCAGCAATTCATTAATGTTATTCATATTCATGTCTATGTATATTTGGTAATTGTTATATGGCTGCCAACATGAACACGTTATGCTCACATAGAGCTTTTCTTTTTTGTAGATCAAGTAACTTCTTCACATTATTATAGCACAAAAAATTTTAACTAGTATGGTAAGTTAGATTTTTCAATTTTGAATTTATTTCTTAAAAAATGAAAATTTTAGTCTTCCTAAATTGCGCTCTTGTACATACGTAAAATAAGAACGCAAGTTGCATTGCTAAAAGATCTTTCAATAGCAAGGAGACTAATTATTTTTTAAAGGGATAACAAGGATGTAACTATTTAAAATGAAACATAAGTCAAGCATTATAGCACTTGTTCAATATCTTCGTGTCTACCAATTTTTTTAAATATTACCCACATATTAATATTAATTTAGAACAATTTTTTGTCAATTTTGAGGAGTAAATTTGGATATAATTTTTTTTTAACTAGTTCAAAGCATCAATTCTTCTTCTGCTGTGCATCATTAATGTCATTGCCGTTCCCTCAAAACCTAGATTTGGAAACAAAATGCAAGATTACGAAAGTAAGAAAAATTTTTACAAGAAAAGGCCACTTCTGTTAAAGTCACTTGCATTAAACAACCTTCTTTCAAAATATTATCACTAAAAATATAATACTATATATGTGTGGGAAATTTGTTATGAAGTAATTTGATGATTCATAATATTTTGGTAGGTTTTCACACATATCGTATATTACAACGACTGTCATTCGGACCATTAATGTCTATGGATGATGCTAAAGATGATGAATTTGGTAAATATTTATTTCAAAAAACGTTAGGGAAAAAATTCATTAGTTTGTTCATACTTGGTCAATCATGAAACAAAGAAAGACTACTTTGTGTGATCGCTGCTTTTACACTCTTTTCAAACTACAAAAAATATGTGCCAAATATATGAGCAAAAACAGTAAGAAAAAAGACTCGTATAAAACAAGTATCATAAAAGATAACGAAACTCTTTTTTGTTTACAGAAGAGAAAATGCAGATCCTTTACTTTTGATTGCGCTTCAAAATAAAACAATTAAATGCTCTTTAAGTTGCAACAATCAAAATTATTTAAGCATTTTTCATTTTTTTTTAATAGTTGTCAAGACAAAAGCTGGGAGGGTTCGAGGCTCAACAGAAAAAGGGAACGTAAACGAAAAGAAAGTGCTGAAATATCTGAACATACCATACGCTGAATCACCAACTGGTGATCTAAGATTTGAGAAACCAGTTGAAAAAATACCGTGGAAAGGTAATCAATGTGACAACTTTATCCAGTATTCAATTCCATTATACCACTTAAACTTTTCGTTATTATCGTAAAACGTGCCCCTTTCACAAAAGTTGTTATTCGCAATACTAAGTTAAGGTGAGATTTCTAACACAAAAGTGAATAAAGTTTTTAAGTGATATTATCATTCTATTTTTATGGTGGTGGTTTGTTAAAAAAATGCTCTTTTTGGTTGACATTCTTTGTCGTCAGAAACTTCTTGAACGGTGTGTAAACTAAATTTGCTGCCTTCAACAGGAAATTTGAAGCCGAAGTCGTTCCCAGTCTTTCCACGCTTATGATAAAAACGTTCAAAACAAATTATTTCAGTGTTTTTCAAGAAACAGTTAATAATTGGAAAGATATTGCAAAAAATAGTTTCATTCATAGCAATTTTTACGGTAATACATTATGAAGGAAATCATCTTAGTGGAAAAAACTAACTTGAATACTTTGACATCTTGCAAAGCTGCATGGTTACGTTTGAAATTTCTTGGGAAAAATTGTTTAACTACTAGTTATAAGGCATAGAAGCACAATTAAAGAGCATCTGAAAGTAAACTATTTTATGTGAAAAATGTTATTCAAAAAAACAATTTTAGTTCCTTCTCATTTGCGCCAGAACAAAATGACCACAATCTTTCGTCATTTGTAATTTTCGTGTGTAAAAATATTTTTCCGTCAGAAATTTTGAATTTCATGCATTAATAATACATAAAATGAATGCAAAACAAAAAAAAATCAGATAATTTTTCAGTCTGTAGCTTTGCCGAAATTTCCATTAAAAACATATGTTGTTTATTGACTTGTTTGCTTTATTTAAAATATCGCGTCGTGAAGCCAAATTCGCGTACTTTGACTCATATAAACGCGTCTCTAGGAGTCAGATAATTAAAAATTTTGGTTTAATTTTGTGTACTACACATAGATATAATAAAACTAGATTACTGATGAATGAGACAGATTATAAGACTTATTAAGACGACGAGGCGTTGTCCACAAAATTAACAGAGAAGTAAAATGTGAAAAACATCAATTGCCTTATAGTAACTTTATGTTTTTCGCCTGGTTCTCGTGCCATCTTGAATTTATCTTGAATGTCATGCAATATAGCAACTTTTCAGCAACTAGACCTACTATATCAATGGTGCTACCGATACATCTGAGAAAAGCCTTCCAGTAATATTTAGTTCAATGGGAACAGCTTACATTTGTGACGTCATGAGAGTGACTCGTTAATACAAAATAGATATAACCTTTCCTTTAATGTTATCGACCCAGACTTTAAGAAACGACGGATAAGATCCATTGTAAACAGAACACAAAGCCCCTTTAAAAAGACATAAAAAGATCACGATTTGACCAAATTTGATACTTTTTTGGAATACACAAAAAATCAAACCTAGTTCCAATAATAACAATAAGAAACATTGTTTGTAGGGCATTATGCTTTTGACCTAATCATTTTTTAAATTAAGTTGAAGTTTTAGTGTTTCTGTTCGTATTCCCAGACATCTTGTATTTCAAATTCTAACTTTTAACTTTAATCTTTAACCACAGGAATCTTAGAGCCCATCAACGATAGTATCTCATGTATCCAGCCTAAAGGTCTTCCAGATCTTATTATGAAAGAAGACTGTCTAGTACTCAATGTTTGGACACCTTATCCAAAACCAAAAAACGCCTCAGTATTGGTAGGATTCAAGAGAATATAATATAGTAACTTATTTTGCCTCCTTGGCATCGACATAATTTATATCTATGTCTTTATGAATTTTCAATCCAATATCAATGTCCTTTTTAACACTTTCATACTTCATTATCTGATTTTTTTTGTCTATTTTCACTGTTTTTAAGGTCTTTATTCATGGGGGTGCATTTATATATGGTTCGTCACATGAACCAAGGTACAGAGGTGCAAACATGGTTCAAATGGGAGATATTATAGTTGTGACTCTCAACTATCGTTTGAGTGCACTTGGATTTTTGACAAATGCAGAAGCAGGCATTAAAGGTAAACTTGGTGCAAACTAAGCATATCAATCAGGCATTGGTTAGCGTACACAGTAAAAATGAGAAATCAAGGGAAAAAGTCACAAAGTTGGCCAAACTTTATTTGAAACAGCTTAAAGATTAAAAAATAAAGTGTTGAGAATTTGAGATTTTTGTGGAAACCAAAATGTTGAACATGGTACAAAAATTGAAAAGACGTCATATACAAAACGTAAAAATGACACCAAAAAAGAATATATAACATGATTTAGAGAAATCTAAACGGTCTGTGGTTTCAAATCACTAGTTTCACGGCTGTAGGCCCAAAATTGCTTTTGCTGAGAAAAAAATGAAGATTAAATTCATTTAAGAGAGAAAATATATCTGCTAAATATTATTAAACAATTATAGATATGCATTAGAATAAGTTTCTTATTTTTCTTCATAATATTCACTTAAGTAGTGTTGACAATTAGCGCAAAAATCTTCTGATATCTAGCCTCTAACCAAACCGTTTATTAAGAAATCTGAATTTTTCAAGTAAAGCTTTTTAAAGAACAATGTTATCTACTTCTGTTAGCGTGAAATGAAATTTTGAATCATAAGATGCTGATAGTCAGGAACTAGCCTTTCATTTATGTTTTAAACGTTTTTAATGATTGATTAATTTTGTATTTGTGGTTTTCACATATAAGGTAACCTCGGTCTGTTTGATCAGCGGTTGGCGTTGAAATGGGTAAAAGAAAATATCGAAGCATTTGGTGGAAATCCTCACCACATCACGCTGTGTGGAGAGAGTGCTGGTTCCGTTAGTGTTTCTGCGCATACTTTATCGGAAGAGAGCTGGCCTTATTTCGATCGTGTTATACTCCAGAGTGGGAATATGCTTGCGTATTGGGCAATTTCGTCACAGGTTTGTGATTGTTTGTATGACTGGTTTAGTTTTACTGTTAACTTTTGTGATAATCACGGAGCTATAAAGTTCTTTGTTAAAAATTGCATTAATAGTGAACTTCATAAACTGCTAAAAAGAATTGAAAATTTTTGCGTTGGAGTTGCATCTAAAACAAAAATACGTTAGCTTTGTATAGCTTATAAAATATTTTACAAATTTGTAACACTGGTTTTAAAGTTGAAAAACTTACTAATGTCACTCAATGCTTTATAATCTTGGAGAAATCTCAAATAGGTGGGTACACCATCTTATTTTAAGAAAATTTAAGAAGTTTTCGACTTTTGACAAAGCGGTAACTGTACTTACTTTTTAATGAATTTCTAAGTCCAGTCCTTCTTTTTTTAACAGGCCTCAAATTGAACAGCTACTTAATTCAATTTTAGATGTTACAAGTTATTAACTTAAGCAATAACTGCATGCCCATATAGGCATATTAGTAGCAACCTTGCTTGCGTTTAAATTTATGAACCAGTATTGTGACAACTTGTTTATGTCGCTGTTATTGATTTTATATAATTAAACAGACCACGTGACTCTTTTCGAAGGTTAAGCAAGCATGAAAATTGATGAAAAATACTTCAGCAACAAGTATTGGTGTAGCTAAAATTTTCAGATAAAATTGGAAATGGGTGGCAAATAGAAAGAAGAAAATGACTGTTATACTACATAAAGTTACAAATGCCATTAGAATTTATGGGGATAGAGCTGCCCTTTGGGACCATTTCTTGTTATGTCACTGACTGCCAGCTATATTAAGCTTGTACTTGGTTCAGGCATATTCTGTATTAAACTTTGAAAAAAAGATGCGCAGAGTATTAAATCACAGAATAGACATCTAATCAAATGCCCACTCGGCTAAAATCGTGGCGTATATAACTCCCTACGCATGCTTGACTTCCCAGCAAGATAATTTCACAAAATCAATATTGAATAGTATTGCACGGGAACGCTATTTTACTAATAAATTACGTTTAAGGCAAAGCTTTGCTGAAATTATTACAAAGAGTTATCATCTTGCAAAGAAGATAAGGTTCCAAGCTTTTGTAGTGCAAAACGGTATATTTGCTGGAAGGCATGTCTGCTTTAGAATTTGCTTCAAAAGAGTGGAAGCACGAACATCAAAGGTCCCGATACAAGTGGACCTTATATTAAGATATCTATTCTGTGATTAGACTATGAGGAAAGTTTTGTGTGAATTTTGATAATAGAAAAGTATTCCAAACGAACCTATAGAATTGTTGGCAATTGACTTGTCTTCTATTTCAAGAATGTTTACAGAATTGTATATCATAACTAAAAGATTTACGTTAATAGACATAAACGCTGTTATTACTAGAATCGACTATTTTCTTCATTTAGGAAAAAGAAAAACGCTTGTCAGACAGGTTTCTCAAAAGGATCAAGTGCAATGACTCATCCGATGTCCTTAAATGCTTAAAGAAAAGTTTTGATTCTGAAAAATTGAAAGAAGCCTTAAGCAACAAATTGGGCATGTTCCAACCAACAGTGGACGGTGATTTTTTTAAAGATCATCCTCAAATGCTTTTCCAGCTTGGAAAAGTAAAGCAATGCCCAATGATTTTTGGTACAATGGAAAGTGAAATGTTCTTTCTCACATATTATCTCCTGTTAGATCATAACAAAACGGCAATCATTCAAAAGTTTAATGAGACTCTTAGGAATACTTTCAACTATCATCACCATTATTATGAAGTGGCCAAGAAACTATACTCGCCTAAATGTACACCAAGTTATATCGAAGCATTACGACCTTTAGTAGAATTTCTAACGGACTGGTCATTTACTTGTCCTATGAAGCATGAAGCATATAAACGGGTCCTGAAATTTCCAAGAAAAGATGTTTTTGTTTTTCGTTACAAATACTCTTCTCCCGTGCCATATTCTTATGCTTCGGGAACGTTTGGGTATGCAGACCATGGAAATGACTTATGGGTAAGTTAAAGATAACTTCTTGTTATTTTTGTTTGAATATACGCTGCTTCCAGCGCAGCGCATGCGCTGCATGCATTCCTCGGCAAGATTCCATGTAAATTCAATAGGTTTAATACGAAAGTAAATTATCCAACATCGTATATAATTGAAATATATGTTTAATTTAAAGAGTAAAATCTGTTATAAATTTAATTCCCGTCAGTTATATGTTTAATTCGCTGGTATTCGGCCTTATCATTGATCAGTGTGATATTCAGGGGCGTACGTACCAAGTGTCAAATATAGCAGGACAAAAAAAAGCAGGCTATCTTAGCCTCTGACATTATGGATGAAATTTTTTAACTAGAATGTGCAATGGGAAATATAAGGTTATTTTTTCAGTATACAAAAATGGTTTTGTATGCGCATTGAATTCCATCTTTCGGTTTTACTGGAAAAAGTAGCTTCTTAGTATATGAAAATGCAATCTCGACTGATAACGATTAAAGTAATTGCATGGTCCTAATGAAAATAAGATAAATGAGCTGTAAAGCACGACACGTCATGTTGTTTATTTCAACATGAGAAAAAATATAACAATCTAATTGCATTAAAAAGTAAAAATTGCGTTTTTTATGTGGTGAATTTTGTATAAGTCTTTAAAATCAACCATGTTTGTCCCTCTGAGATATTTGACTATATTATTGTTTATGAGAATTCTTTCGTTACATAAAAATTTTAACTTACGACAGTACAGCGAACGTAAATTAATCGAAAATTTAACAGAAAGAGCAATTCACAAGCCACACAACATTTAGGGTTAAGGAACGTTTAATTAAATTTGCTCGTTTTCCTCCACATGCTAGAAGCTAAATAACATCATTTAAGAGCTAAAATACTAGTCCTTAAGTACACAAAGACAAAACAAAACAAGGCCATACTTTTATAATTTGCAAAAGTAGTATTGCCCACATATTTGCCATATTTGTATTAGATTTGCATTGTACTTTTCAAATACACTTTATACGTTTTATCAAATTAAGTAGTGACGTTGCCAGTTTATGAGTCAAGTTCAGCTATTTAGATTTTGTTTACTCGCTGCATAAATTTGATTTCTGACAAAACAAATAAGATCAATGTTCTGATATTTATAAGAAAATATTGTGGCGTTGCTATGCTACCGAGTAGCTACATACAATAAGCCTTTTCATTTATTGGATGAAATATTAAAAGACATGTCATGTACTCAAATACAAGTCAGAAAATATTTTTCTAACACTTGTTTTAAACGATATGATTATTGTGGTGAAAGACGTTTTTAGTGTAGTGGACAGTGAATTTGTCTTCAAAATTCCTGGGATTTCGAGATGACTATAAATTTCATTTTCTATGACATTCTACATACACGTACACATACATGTGACATGTAATCTAAACGAAGTCATTGAATAAATTCCAGAAGGGTTAAAAAGTAAGCAGGTTATATGACACTACAGTGACTACAAATCATATTTTTGAAATCTTGAACACCTTTAATTGTGAAATACTTTTGCTTTACTTCCCACACGTAAGCAAATACGCATTTAATTTTTGTCATGACAGTCCTTATTTTGTTTGAGAGTGAAAAATCATATAACATTCAAATTAAATCATAATAAAGATTTATACAAGAACTTTTGTGAAAAATATTCTTCTGCAGAGGTTGCAGTTAACTCCATGATTTGCATGAACAGTTTATAGCTAGATATTATTAAAACGATTTTCATTTGACATTGACCTAACAGCTTTTCCGTTCTTTTTAGTCAACATTTGGAATACCTTTTGGCAACAAAAAATTTCCCAAAGAAGATAAGAAATTATCATTAAAGATGATGGCATATTTTGCTAATTTTGCAAAGAATGGGTAGGTGTACTGGCTACAATACACTTGTCATTGTGTTTTACTGTAATTAATATATTGATTGACGACACCAGCATTTTTATTCCATACGATATTCTCACGATTTTTGCCCTTTTTGACTAAGGGATATTCCGTAGGAGTATTTGTGAGTCATATGTATCACTCTGGCTTATTGTTTGTCTGCTTTGCGCACATAGAAACCGGTAAGACCAGTATAGAATGGTGACTATTAAGATTTCTAAGGATTTTCCACGACCAGGTCAAACTGATTACTCATTTGCACGTTTGTCTTATTGAAGTACATTTAATTTGCAGTTCATCAAAATACAACTGTTCTAACTTGCTCGACCGCCTCGTACACTAAATGCTTCACGAAACGTTTCTTCTTGCATAATCTTTATTCACAATATAAGTCATTGTTAAAATGATACAATAATATGCTATTTTTTTTAAGGCGGATTTGCTCTGACTAAAACAAAACCCGTGCAGTCCCGCACGTCAACTGTCAACAAATTTAATCGAAAAAGAGCTTATATAATCACCGAAGTAGAACTGTAAGGCTTTAGCAAATTATAAGAACCGAGCGACGAAAGTAACGCGTAATTTTTTCTTTAACTGTTTTCTTCAACATACTTTGCTTTACATTTTTTAGTTAGTATGTATCACCCTGTTTATTTGTGAGTCATCTCATCGAAACCTTTGAATTTTTCATATCGATAATTTGTGTGCTTCATTTTGACAATTTTATTTATTAATGATAAATAGAAATATCAAAATATAAATAAATTGAAGTTTAAACTTTCTAAATTTTCTTAAAAGGGCTAGTTTCGCTGTACTAGCCAGGTTAGTTTCAATATACTAAATTCTTACTTCAAAAAGTACATCGAAGTATTAATTTCATTATGATTTAGCTGATTAAAATAAAAAAATATCGCAGGTACAAAAATATCGAAACATTGACATTCCAGGCAAGTATCGATACGTTTTTTCTAAGCCCGGATATCGATAGTATTGAGTATTTCGTATTGTTGTCGGCCAATCCATAATATAAATTATGTCAACCATTTTTTTACAGTAATCCAAATATTGGTAAACTACATCCACCAAAAGATTTTAAGGATATCAAACTTCACAAATGGCCTCGTCATACTAAAGATGGAGAAAAATATTTGGATATAAAAGGTTCAGATGATTTTCTTGTGGAAGCAAAACTTCGTGAAATACATTGTGTTTTTTGGGGCACACCAATGTACGCTATGTACAGATCACCGTTTTTCAATATAAAAGGATAGATAAAGGATAGACTTTGTCGTGATTACAAATCTGAAAATAGTTCTAAAGATAGCAAATACCATAGTGAATGGTAAAAGTAACATAATAAGTTGATAGTTCTTAAAAGAACTGTTTTAAGTAAAGAGCAATAACCCAATAGTTCTAACTTAAACGACACGATGCATTTCGGCAGACTACTCCTCAGGTGTCAACGTCTGCTAAATGAAAAGTTAAAATCTACCTATATTTATAATGCCAAGAAAGAGTGTACGTCATCCCCAAAAGGGGAGATGACGCTCAAAACAGGAATAAATCAAAAACATCATTCTTTTGTCGGCAGAGGACGGAATTGGTTAACTTAATTAAATATCAATTGGATATTAACCATTCACTATGGCATTTGCTATCTTTAGAACTGTTTCTCAATTTGTAATTTTACGTATTCTTGTTGAAATTTTGGTTTTCTGATTAACAATTATTTTTTATACATATTTATAGTTGTAGTTAAGTTGATGGATCACTTGTGAACTTTTTCAAATACACATCATTGATTGATTATGAAAGTCGTTATTTTTATTTACGCTTTTACAACAATTGCTATGTCTTGAAATCATCATTATGTTCATGCAATCTGTGAAAAGCTAAAAAGCGACATGCCGTAATTCTTGCATAAATAAATAATTATGCGAAATGATAAGTTCAAATAGATTTCAATAAATAAATTTTAATCAAAATTGTCGCAGAGCTCGTACAACCCACTACAATCTTCAAACCTCTATTGAGTTTTTAGCGTTATATAAGTCTTTCGTATGAGCTCCGAACGTGAGTTCAATGTACCAGAATGCTATTAAATTTTGTGATTATTTTATTCATTAGCGAAGAAGTTATTTACAACAGTCGTGAGCATTCTATCTTACAATTAATTTACAGGCTTTTTACATATTTAGCTAAACATATTTATATATTTATTTGCGCGGCGTGAAATGAGTAATTGAAAGGATTCAAAGCGTTATAAACTTACAACCTTTTCTTACAAGCGTCAAATGTCATTTTAGTTGTAACTTTCAAATAAGGATAAATTAGTTGTCTGTCTTCATTTTAAAGTTTTCGTGAATTTGCAAAGTCAGAGCAGAGAGAAATTTCTTAAATAAGTTTTTTGTTGTGAAGTATTTGATGTTTCTATTTGTCAAACTAATTTAACGCTTCGCTGAATTCCATGTACCAAGCTCTTGTGAATAATCCCTTGCCTATGGTATACGTCTTTACACTATGCCTTATTATAACGATGAAAAGGCCGTGGTTAAACAAAGACGAAACATTTGGGTTGATTTCAGTAGGGTAAAGCGCATATTTGAGACTTCCAGTGCTTTCAAAATTTGTTCAGCTAGCTTCAGACCAGATGATTTTGCGTGTTGATTTAGTAGTTTCCGAATCAAAAGAAGTCCAATTATACAAGGCTTAGAAGTGACGACATTTGAATTTGTGTCTTTTTAGTCATGATCATTTATGCTTTTGGTTCAGAATCAAAATCATAATATCAAATGGAATAAATTTTTCCAAAGAGGCTTAAAATGTTAGTCACTTTTTATATGAAAGAATTTTGGTGTAAGGGGTCACTTTAAATGATCAGTATGAACTCCAAAGCACGTGACTACCAAAAACTTGAATAATGTCTTTGTTACAACACTTACGTAAATATGTACTCATTTTTATCGTTGCTGCAAATAGCTAGTATGTCTGTTGTTTCTTAAAAAACCAACAAACAACTTAATATGCGAAATAATGATTTTTATGACAAGCAGTTTTTGTTAGCACTTAGCACTGCCAACCTTGAAAATGTCAATTATATTTCGTTTTGTCTAATAATACATGAAACTTGAAACAAGTCAAGCAACGTATTTGTTTTTAGTCATGTTAGTTGACAATAACACTAGTTAAATTTCGCCAGTTCGTGAAAAAATAAAAATTAAGATCAATGCATAGGTTTCCTAAAGAAAAAGAGACTCTAAGAAGCCATAAAAAAGTTAATTTTGTTTGACAACTTTTTAATCATTCGTAGATGTCTTTGCTCGGCATCAGCGTGTTTTATTGAGTCTTGTTTTCATCTATGTAAATATTTGTTTGGCAAAGAAGCTCGAAACGAAAAAAGGAATATTTAATTCGTACTGTCAAATAGGCTGGAATAGATCTTGACAAAAACGGGAAGTTGACAAAGCTGAAGGAAAAATGGTCGGACACAAATTTGCAAGTAGTTTTATGAGACATGCTCTGTCGTTCACGTAACGCCACCAAATACTCTTTTAACTCTCTTTCCACCAAATACTCTTTCTGCAGTTTTTTCTGCATTCCAACAAGTATTTTGCTCTTTTACGTGATGCTTGCCATTTGATTCGCCATGCCTCTCGTTTTGGTAGGCAAAGGTCCTTTGATGTAAAGCTTTGTCGGTGTAAAAATATGCATCTCCATGTCATCCTTGACATACAGTAGTGGCCGTCACTGAGCTAATCCGAAGTAAGGTTTCCTCCGTCTATTACTTTGTACATCGCCGATTTTACCACCCCAATGAGGCGCTTGGATCGATCTCAACACCAGGGTGTGCAACTCACATTGAGCTTCCACTTTATTTCTTACACTTACACGAACACATGCAAATTTCGTCCGTTCTCAGCTGCTCTAGCTATTTTTGGCTTTGATAAATGTTCCTCCACTGTCCGAGTAAATCACTTGTGGCCGCCCTATTCTTCCTATAAAACGTATAATCAATGAACGAAGGGACCGGTTTCCAGGGTTTGCAAAGCTTCCAGATGATTGGCTATTCACAGGCCAGGAGCAAACAACGCCAGATAAGATAGAAAAGTCATAAATAAGTTAGAAACAATGCATTGATGCAGTTATTGATTGTAACCCTGACTTGTAGATCTCCATTTTCTAAATAATCTAACACCTTATTATACTTTGCAGTTGTGGTCTGTTGCAAATACTTGATTGTACTCCTTGTTTTATATTTATCTGCTGCTAATTTTAGGCTCCACTTCTGCAGACATAAAGGATTAAACCCAGGTGTTGTCACACAACTAATGTTTTCAAGTGGTATGCCATCAGATTCTAAATCTTGTATCACTTCTTTCTTCCTCATTGCCTCTTCTAACTCACAACAACATAAAGCTGTCTTTGTTTGCTAAAGCTGTCTAATATCTTTAAAGTGGATACAACATTTAAAACTCTAATGATCTCCTAAACTGTAAAACTCTTTATTTCACATCATTGTTTACATTCTAATTTGAATTCTTTGAAGTTTTTATGGCATTCAATTTAGGGAATGTAAATTATTCTTTTTCTAAATTTATTTTTTACTTCATTGTACTATATTCGCCAAAAATGGTCAAATGTGCTTTCATTTATTTAACTATAAAATAGTTTTGATAAAACAGAAGCAGGTTGATACCTCAAAAACGAAAAAGAACATGATTTAAAATCAGGTAAATCAGGAAATGACCTTTCACCGTATACTTTATAAAGTATGACCTTGACCGTTTGCTAAGCGTGATATCTTGCCCTACAAAACTTACCATTTAAACTTAGAAAGTGATCAGAAGTTTTCAACCATTTACCTTTAGTAAACAATATTAAAGAACATATAGAACGATGAAATAAGGATATGAGCATTTCGCCACAATCACAATCACCAATGCAATTATGTGAATGAAGTTATGACATCATTTTATTCCAAACTTTATTGAGGTTGCCAAGTCACAATATATGCATGGTATGTCAATATTGTTAGCTCTGCGGTTATTTTGCTTTGTTCGCTTGCCTTTGTTCTAGAATGGAGTGTGTTGCTCACGAACTCACTTCTCTTCTTGAATGTCCGATATGTATGGAAACACTGAAAGATCCAAAAAGTCTGCCATGTTTTCATAACTTTTGCAGTCACTGCTTGCAGCGTTATATCGAAGAAGTGCGCAAACGAAAGCAGATCGTAAGAATTCCTTGTCCATCATGTCGCAGTGAATTTTATCTTAGGCGAAATGGCACCATCCAAGATATTCCGGGTAGTTTTCTTGTCAAAAATATGCTGGATATCGCGAAATCCCAAAAGGAAGTGCAGGTACGTTTATGTATGATGCCACCATAACATACTATACACTTTCTATTAGCTTATTTTTGCGCGGGTTGCTGTAGTATTTAAAATGCATCTTAAATGCCTTGTATTCTTTATTAGCGCTAGCATAACCAAACGTAAAATCAATAATATCACGTTGGAAATATTTTTGGAGCAGAATCAATTCAGTCTCGTCACATGATGTTTTTGAATATTTCTTATGATAATATTAATAGTGAGACGGAACTAGATCTTACAGCGCTGACTGATACCAAATCAATATACAACTTTCACATCTTCTACTCGTCGTTTTATCAATATGTAACTATTAAACAGTTATTGTAAATCTTGCCCTTCAACATCTGGATATAAGTTAACTTCATACAAACCCTAACATTAATATATATGACTCGCAGAATTTAATTATTTCCGCAATTGATCAACGTGTCAAACGTTTCAGCACAATCAGCTTATATTAGAATGGCAGTAACCGACCACGCGCTGTTTAGAATTTTGGCTAAAACGCTGTTGGGTTTCTTGAGTTGATATGTTAAAGCAATATTTGAAAGCCCAAATCAAACCAATGGATTTGTTTGTAAAGTAAGTTGAATTTGAAATACGTACATACTTGACCTCAATCCGATGCAATTTGAATGGGCATCTTGTTGAAGGTTCATGTACATTATATATCAAAATCAGGCATCGTGCAATGGTATATATTGAACCTGGAGGCGAAGACAGGAATTTAGTGAATTTACTATATTTCTGCTTGCCATATCTTTGCCCCCAATTTAAACATTTTATGCAATAATGTATACATATATTGCTTTAAATTCCTTCATATGATATGCTATTAATGAATACACAATAACCAGCATCTTTTTTAGTTTTACGTGGATCTAAATACAAACTATACAGTATATAAATTGTTATCATATCAGGTGCATATTATGAGCATTGCATGACATTTTAGTTTTTTTTTGTATATGTATTGTTAATGAAATGCATTGAATGGACATTTAAATTGATGCCCATAACTTTATCAAGCTAGTACTGGTTGGCAATGCAGTGAAGTCATATGGCTCTGCTACATTTTTCTGATTTCATTAAATTGGTAGATTGGTCAACATAACCAAATGGCTTTTTTGAAATATGACTGTCAAATGTCAATCGTCAGTTGTGAGATATTTTCTTTGATGATTTGTAACATTTCATCATGTTTTATTCCCTTATCCAAATAAAATGGCTTTTTTTGAAGAAGTCCGAGACATGACCTTTTTGTGCGCATATTGTACAATAGTTATTTCATAACATTGTGTATCCTTTTTATTGTTAGAAGAAGGAACTATCTATCAGAATTCCATTAATTTGTATTTCAGCTTGGTCCATCAGAGTAGATCAAATCTTTTTCTTACATTGCAATGGTTGCTATATACAACTGTTGAAACTGAAATTATGTTCTATGTTTGAGTGTGACAAATGCTCAGATTAGTGGATAAAACAAATGGAATTTCCATAGCCGAACTTAATCGAGGCAAGCAGACTAATTTGCAGATAGGGGCCAATAAATCTACACCTCAAGTTTTAGTTCTGCTATGTAAATAGCAATTCATTGTCATTATATATTTCCTTAGTAATCTATTGTTTTTCAAGTGAGTGAACACATACAAACGTACACTGCAGGGCTAAATAATTAGGCTGGCTTTTCGACTGAATCTAAATCTTTAAAATTCAGACATTCTAAGCAAAAATTTCAATTTCCAGATTTGCTTGACATTTTCAAAAAAGTAACATTGTGAAAAAAAGGAAATTTAGTCACCAAAAGGAGTTTTATCCAGTGACATAGCCAAGGAGATAATTGGGTTGGGGATGACTTTTCAGGTTTCCATCATTAATTCTAATAAACAATTTTGAGATTTTTAAAATTGTGAATATAGAAAAATGGAAGTATATATAGGAGGTGTATAACGAATCCAATTTCAAACTGCTATATTAATAGTTGCTTTATGCAACACAGGCATGAACAACTCAAGTAGTAAATATATAATAAACAAATCAACTTTCATATCTATTTTGATAACATAGAGTTGAAGACTTGTTGGCTTTCGACACATCAAACTATGTAAATATTTACAGTAGGTGTTAACTCTATGTAAAAACAATAGGCTTCTTAAGAAATGAATAATGCTGATGATGAAAATATTTACGTAGCATTAACAAATTTACTGCTTGGCTCATTCAAGACAACCTGGCTAATACGCCATCAGAGTCCCACTACCACCCCAAAAACTTTAAAGATTGAAAAGTTGAGCAAATTTTTAACTTTAGCCTGGCGAAAATACGACAGAACCTTCTTTGTGAGTTGCGCAAAATATTTTTTGCTTCCCCTGAATTGATAGCTCCCGTACGCTTATTGGAGTTTTCTATTGCTTTTCAACCCACGCAAATATTAGCTGATGTTTTATGAAAGTTTGCATTACTGTTATACATTATTATATAGAACCTGACTGTCGATCTGAATTATAGAATCAGATTGATCATTGCCTCTATGCATTCGTTCCATGTTACGGATGCATTTTAAATTGTACTGATTGCTATTTTACGAATGATATTTAATTTGAATATGCAGCACCTTTATGAAAATAGTCGCCTTTAAGGTTGCGTTTTTTCTATCCGAAAGTCTTTATTTAAAAATAGATCGTTTTCACTCATTCCTTATTCCTTAGGGATCTACATGATAGTGGAGGAAGCAGCCATATTGGTGGTATAAAACCAGTGGCGCAGACTGCGGATTAATAATTACGCGGCCTGCAGGCTCAGACAAAGTTGTTGCACATTTACTTGAATATCTGTTCCTTCCACTAAATTCAATCTCTTGATGACATTTACGTTCCTTGCTCTCCTTTACATTTGCATTTCCCAGCTTGTTGTTGTAGATCATAGTATCAGCTATAAGGAATAAATTCAAAGTTGAAACTGGAAAACCCACTACTTCACGAGTTCTGATTATCCGTGAATTGATTTGAACAGATCATAGATCATACAGTCCTTAACAGCATAAATGGTCTAAACTAAAAACATTAAACTAGTCCGGAATGGCAATAACTAAAAACTAATTATGTTTAGTTACAACGTTTCTCTTAAATGCCTGGGCCTGTAGACTTCAGCCTACTTTAGCCTACTTAGTAATCCACCACTGTATCAAACAATGAACGTCATTATTCTCTAAGGTGGTTTTAAATTGGCGGCTATGACGTCGTGTGAAAACTATCTATGCCTTTTGATTATTATCAAAACCATTATCGTTTTTTGTATTTTTAATTTCAAAAATTATTCATTTTTTTCTGTTTACATTAAAAAATATGATATTTTAAAAAAAATAATCAACTCATCGCCTTGTAAAAGTATTCTGTTGTTTGAACTATATTTACACTGAAGAACAGTACAATGATGTGTTTGAAGAATGTTTATTTAAATATGCCTTCTCTAAATCATCGAACAAACTATGTACACCATTGAATTTTACGATGTTTCAATCATCATTCCAAGAATAGCGATAACAGTGTTTTTTTATGTTTTTGTTAGGGATGCAAGTGTCAATTATGTGATAATCCTGGACTCCACCATTGCTCTGAATGTAAAATCTTCATGTGTGAAGATTGTAAGACTTTGCATAACAAATTTCCTGGACAGAACCAGCATACTGTGCTATCCATTGACGAACTCGACACTCCCGAAGGTCAGGCAAAAATTAAGAGGATAGTTTATTGTCAAAAGCATCCTGGGGAAACTTTGAGGTTTTATTGTGAAACATGCAAGGTAGATCGTTGTTTGTTTGCTTTTTGTATTGTTTAACCTAGAAAGAGCATTTTATCGATAAATCCCTCCTGTCTCTTTTCTTTAACCTTCTGTAGCAAGTTCTTTACTTTTAGCGAATGAACTTTAGGGATGCATTTCTTGGGGGATATTTCAGGAATATATGTAACTTTATGTGTACTAGTCTTACTCTATTGTCTGTATATATCTTGTAGGAACTGTGTTGCAATGATTGCCTGCTACTTTATCACATGAAACAGAATCACTCCTGTATATCAGTGCAGGAGGTTGCCGCAACTCAGCTCGATAAACTCACTTCCATTACTGCCAAAATGGAGGGAAATTTAACTGAAGGAAAGAAAGCTCTCGATTGCGTTGCAGCAACAATAGTTTCGTTAAACGAAAACGCTTCCGTTGCAAAACAGAACATTATACAACGAAAAGATAACATCTTAAAGGTTGTTTCGGACAAACTAGAGAAAAAGGCTGTTGAACTGTGTGAAGAGGTTAATTTGAACCACGATAAGCTGCTTGAGGAGCTTATGAAACAACAAGAACAAATTCAACAATATGTCGATAATGTGGAAGGTATGCACAACATTTGTTGTTTCTATTGCTACAGCTTACATAATATTAAATTTAAGCATACGTACTGTACGTTATATATTGAAGTATATTTGTTAACGGCCACGTGGTGCAAGTGGGGATATTGGGAACTGTGAAATGTAGGAAAGGTGTTTCAATCAAGATGCATTGCGCGCTTTTTATTTATGCTCACATCGTTACTTTTCGAGCTTGCAGCACACTGAATTGACTTTCTTCACTACATTCTCTAATTTATAAGAAAAAGGCATTGCTTAATAAGAGGTATGCAATTGCGTACATGCGTCTACGTGATGTGGAACTTTTCAAACTATTATTAAATGTCACAGAAATATTTAATAAGGTTCAATAGGATATCGCAAAAAAGATAAACACCTGTGTTTATCTTACCCATCGACGACTGTTATTATTAAACTCTAACGGAATCATCAGCATGTGCCATGTGCATCGTGGATTGAATGCACTCGAATCGAACGTTTAACTTTACATTGATCGAAAGTCTACGAGAAAGTTGCCGAAATGTTTCCGATGCTTTGCCGATAAAAGCCGACTGATGTCACTTTTAGTGAAACGTAAATACATATTTTTACGAATAACTGCAATACTTCTAAGTTGCTACGCAACATCGATGCAAAAACTCTGTTTTACATTAATTACTATTGTTTGGGTAAGTTCATATACGACAATGACAAAATCCGCTATTTTGTTAATTCAAAAAAATCGCTCTGACGTGGTGATTAATGCTCAATGCACTTCTTAATCTTTCAATCTTTGACTGTGCAGTTATTAATGGACGGTATGACGTCATTAGTGATAAAAACAAAAAATAGGTGCGCATTGCGTACATGTGGGTAGCCTGTGAAACGTAAAGGCTAGGACAAAAATTTTATTTTTTTTGTCTTTTTGTGCCTTAAAAAATGGCTTTTTTGTGTTTAAATCTGAGGTGCTGCGAATGGGTCTAGTTTACCGGATGTGACGTATATTGGATTACAAGATGCTTTTCAACGCTGCAAGCTAAAGTGAAATTTCTTGTATAATCGAGGAATTTAATTTAAATATAGTTGTGTGACATTGTGCTCTTTGTCATTGAATCACACTATAATTCTATAGCGTGGAAAAGCAGCGTGTTCTCCAATATAAGTCACGTCCTGTAATCTAAACCATGTCACACAGTACCACTAGGTCAAACACGAAAAAGCCACATTTAAGACTGAAAAAAAGTCAAAGAAAATCAAATTTTCGTCTAAAATATATTTTAGATGTTCTTAAAATCGTCAGTCTATCAAAATTGATTATTTCCCAGAGGGTGTTTTGCTTAGTAGGTTTATAAACTAATTCAAGTAATAACATAAATTTAATATTATGCGCCATTTCTTAGCGATTGCAAATAACTTCTGTTCGATCTTTCAATGCGAACGGACAATTCGCGCATTGAAAATAATTCGCTGCATTCATGTAATGCTCAAATTACGGAACAAACGGCGTAAAAAATGGCGTAAAATTTCTATCACAAAGCACAAATAAGACATAGACATACTAAATATGACAACAATATATCGAGCTACTTACTTCAACTATAAAATTGCTCTCAATGAGCGAGTAAAATAACAAATAAGAAATCGTTAACAAAGCCATTTTTTATCTGTCAGCAATATTTTCCTGAGAAACTGACAAACGCTCGAACGCTATTTATTAGGGAGTTTTAGCAGAGCCTACGAGTACGACTACGAGTACGATTTACGTCATTTTGGCGCGAAAACATTGTTGCGACAACAAAAACACGTAGCCGTCATCAATCTGAGTACGATGTTTTGTAAAAAATTCGTAGTCGTGACTACGATGTCTTTTTAAGCAAAGAAAGTAGGTATATTTCTTCATTCTGTAAGAAATTAGTTTACAGTACTATTTTCGAGCATCCAGGCTTTAATTTAGAACCCTTTTTGAGCGCAGATGTACATTAAAAAAGAAAATATGACCTGCAAAACTTTCATGTATTTCGTACGCAAAGTGAAAGGTAAACAAACAATAAAATAGTGCAAATATATCGTACATAAAACTTAAAATAGTGAAGATTTTTCAGTCTAAAGAGTCCTATATTCTCGCAAAACCAGTATTATCGATTCTTTGATATCATTATTGTCAAATAGAGCCGTAGCTGCTTCGCAAACGTCGGTGTTTTGCACAATAAAAAGGCTCGTTCTATTGTTTACAACTAAAGCAAAATTTTGACGAAGCGACAACGACAACAAACTTCCTCGTGCCATTCCCTTACACGGTCAAATTTCGTACTCGTAGTCGTAGTCGTACTCTTGCTAAAACTCCCTATTGTCATCGTTCGTGCATCCGAGTATCACCGAGGTATACGACAGACGCGTGCGCAGCGCTACCCACGAGCTTTCGCTGCTTTTGTATAATAAAACCATGAAAAATTCCAAATTTAACATGAAAACATGTTTTCCCCAGCACTTGGAAAATTAAAAAAAGCCAAGATTTTGCAAATATCACCGATAATTGATGTCACCGTTTGTTTGCAGCTAATTTAAAAACAGGAAATTTTCTTTGACTTTAATACTGTCCATCCGTTCTCTTTTAGTTCAAAGCTCTAGACCGAAGAAATTGCCTAAATTCTTTACTTTATTATATAAACTTTACAACTTTATTGTAGCGTTATTTACACAAAACTCTCTTTTTGTTTTAGCGTTCGTATCCATTCCTCGGAATCTATTGGAAAGGAAAAACATGGACGAAATTCTTTCTTCTCGGGAATTAATTGATGAAAATATTGGAAAACTAGAAACACTGAAATATCTAAGTCCTGTCAATGATGGGAATGTCAATTTTGAAATTCCAGTTTTTGACGATAAAAATGCTGATTTACTACTTCAAGCCATGGGGGTAGTTTGTAAGTACTTTCATTTACTGACTTGCAGTTAACAAAGCAAGAATAATTATATTTTATGATCAAACATGCGCATGTATAAAACACATGACAGTTGAAAGGCAGATGATTTTGCACGAGCAATTATGAATTTGCATGTTCCTTAATCTTTGACGTAGCTATTTGAGGTTTCCGTTGTCGTACGTAGGTGTACTAAAGCCTTGATATTCATGTCTAAATCCCACTTTAGTGCTATTTTTGGGAGCGTTTCACCCAAATTCGTGCACAATTACATTTAAGTTAAAATCAGCGAGGTTTTAAATACATGAAAACCGAAAGAGTCAAATATTTTTCAAGCTGTAGCTTAATTAAAATCAAACTATACTGACGTTGCTGTATTGTTTTAGTCCAAGCTTTATTGTCGCTTACTTTTGAAATCATTTAAACTTGTGTTGTTCTATTTGACTTTTTTATCTTGCATGATCCTTAATAAATGGTTAGAACGATGAAAGATAAAAAAGTCAAATAGAGTAACAGAGGCATATATGCAAAGCCAGTCCCATCTTTTACATCGAAAATGCAATTTTTTTAGCATAGTAAATATTCCCTTTTTCAGAAAATTAAACCTATCCGTTCATTTTTCAATAATTGAACACAAAAATTTGGCATTGTAGGAATTAAAAACAGCTAGCGTCGCTACTGCCTTACATAATATACATTTTTAACAGTATTGACAAAAGCCAATTTAACCATCTTGGAGCCGACTCTTGCAAAAGTTTGTACACCTTTTTTTTTGTGACTGTTACTGTGGGGCTCGCTCACAGCCGCATCTGTAATAGATTTTAACAGAGTATTGACCTATATATGTTGTTGCGAGCGTTGTGCGTTGCGGTGCATGAGTTTCACGTCGATTTTGTTGAACGTACGTTGCACACACGATTTCGTGTTATGTGTTGTTGATGAAATGCAAAAAATCCCTCCGTCGCAACGTTTATACAAGTTATATGTTGATACCAACATGATAGTGCTCTTTTTGCGTCATTTTCAACAGCATAAGGGAGAAACTTTATTTAATTCTTCATAACTATACATGCTTGTAAATATTTCTCTAAAGCACTAATAACATCATTTAACACTATTCACAAAGAATAAAGTCCAGTTTGGTCTACATATGAATGATATTGACCATTATTGTTTAGGGAGAAAATTTTCTTTTAATTACGCGTGCCTTTCATGTACTGTTTAGACGGCAGTATCAACCAAAATTTGGCCCAGTCCCAAATACTTCGAGGGGAGAAAGTCTTGATAAACCAGTTACAACAGTGGTTACATGGAAATTGGAATCTTCTATATCGTGCATCACGTGATGGTTGGTCAGCCTATGATTTTCATCGTCTTTGTAATGATAAAGGAGGCACAGTTTTCTTGGTCAAAGTCGATGACTTCATATTTGGTGGATTTACGGATCAAAGCTGGAATGGTAATTTGTATTTTTCATGACTTATGTTGCGGCCAGCCTGCTAAGCAATTTTTTCTGTCTTATTCTCTGACCTCTAAACCAACAACAATGCAATGTTAAGAATATACAGTGCTTTACTAAAATTTATGTGTTCTGTGCTCTGGCTATGTACAGTATGATACACAAGACGCATAGCGTAAAATTAGAAACTTGTCTTGAACATCATCTTGTAAACTCAAGTGTTGAGTTATTGAATCAACAATATGTAACTTTAATTTAAGTTTTAGTTTGTGTTTGGCTACAATATTTCGTGTGTACGCTGTGTATGTAGCTCGTATTTGCATTTAGTGGGGTAATCCATTATAGATTCTTATATTTTCATACCTATAAACTTACTATATAAAATGCATTTATATTGCAAGCCTCGCATCCGCTGAAAGAGCGTGTTTTGATTGACTCAGAAACAATTTTGCTGGTACATTAATTTTCTGTAATGGACCGGGTTGCCCTCAAATACACGTAAACAAATTTTTTGAAGCAAACGGCAAAAGTTTTGTAAAACGCCAAGCGAATCAAACAAAAAAAACATGTACGGATTCATGTCGGGAGAAAGTGACATGAATGAAAGCGAGTGCATTTAGCGATCGCAGAAACAGAAAGGGTTATTTTACTGATCAGTGAGCACAGAACAGTTTTTTGCAATTGTCGAACATCTTTTAAGATTGAACAAACTTCACAAGTGTTCTTAATTTTTGTCGTTATATATTTGCAAGGTTACCAGGATATATGTGCTGCGTTCTTATTTTCTACACGATGAAGTTTTTATAATAATGTCTACGTAATAAATTATACGAAATAGGTTTATTATTTACTTTACGCAGTTTTTCACACAGTTATCAATTTTACTGTTCCTTATACTCCATACCGTAAATGCCCAGCTAGCGCCTCTCCCACTTAAGCGCCGCTCTCGGTTAAGCGACGCCACTCAGAATCCAGAAAAGTTATTTACCGCCGCTCCCGACTAAGCGCCGCATATGAGTGGCTTTATTGCGGCCATCGTAAGAAATATAGAGTTACTAAAGTTTAAAGTTTACGACAATCTTCTTCTGCGTCTATGTGACATAATTTTGATCAGTTTATATATTATATAGTGAAAATAAATTTTGTCTACGAAAATATTTAATAAGCGCTGTTCGCACTTAAGCGCCTCTCCTGCACAAGCATCCTAATCAAATCGGAAAAGATTAAATAAGCGTATCGATGCTAAAGTGCGCATTTACCTTATGTACAGCCATTGAACTAAAATACATTGAACGCTCTCTGAAGCAAATAATTGGAGAAAAACTTTACACCCGTATACACGCGAGATTACACCAACACACGTGTGTTTAGTGTTTCGAGATTCTCACGCCGAGTGAAAATTCTACAGAGTGCCGGTTATTTAAAATTAGTCCGCCATTCGACTTTTAAGCAAACCAAAATTAATTTATAACGGATGAAGTGAAAGCCATATACTCTCTGTGTTTAAAAGTTTTAAAGTCAATTATGATCACGGTTTACTGTAAGCTCTCACCTCCAGTCATCCATGTTCTGTGATCCTTAACTTAATGGAACCGAGTTTCGACCGTCTAAGTGATCAATCATCAGACAACCACAAGAATGATTCACACCAGATTTAATTTTACGAAAGACGAAATGAGCAGTACTGCATTCGGGATATCTTTTAAGTTGCCAAGGCAACATTTATATACTTAGCAGTTAATCGTAAACGGCTTTGAGGTTAATAGTTGAATACCCAGCGCAACTGTCCCAGTGAAATTCAGGGACAGTTGCGCGAAGCAGGGATAGCGTTATGTATTGGATTTTAAATTTTTTTAGGCTTGTAAAAAAAGGTGTTTATATTTTTGTAAGGACAAAGAAATTGTTCGATCTTAGAAGTAATATTTTATTTCAGTGATTGCTCACTTCATACCTTATATTTTTCTTTTTTAAGATGTTTTTCAACTGTTTAAAAGTATTGTTATTTATGCCCCAGATTGTTTAGTTTGCCGTTCTCCTCTTCCATATGTTTCGTCTTCGTATAGGGGGTGGACCAGGTAGAAGCCCCTCGTTAAATTTATCCTCATAGATTCATAACTTCTCATTGTAAGATAAACATTGTAGAAATGAAGTGTAACTGCTAAAGAACAACAAACGAGATAGTGCTACAACTTTAATCGCACATTTAAAAGAACAATGAAATTTAAGAAATAGCAGGCATATTGTTGAGCTTATGCTGTTGTTGCTCTTCAAGGCATCTAAAACAATTGCCCTGAAAAAGCGTGTGTTCTATGGCGAAATAGTTTGTTGTTGTCTACTGTCCTTTAAAAGTACAGTTTATGAAAAAAATCTTTTAATTCATTGTTGGCATTTTGTTATATTGTATGAGAAGTTCGTAGGAGCACAAGCATAAAGTTACTCGTATAGCTACACTGGTGCGGATTACTAAGTAGGCTGAATCCTACAGGCTAGGTTGTATCTACAGTTGTATCTTGACATAATTGGTTTATAGTTTTTAAATGTTCTTAATTTAAACCTATTTTGCTGTTAAAAACGGTACGATCTCCTGTTCAAATGCACGATGCATAAAACTCGTGAAATAGTGGGTTTTGACAGTTTGAACTTTAAATTTATTCTTTAGTATTGATACTACGAGCTACAAAAATAAGCTGGGAAATGCAAAGGATTGTAAGGAACGCAAATTTCATGCAAATGTCATAAGAGATTGAACTTTGTGGGAGGAATACACATCTGACTTAAAGTCCAACAACTTTGTTTTAGCTTTGGTCTCAGCTTACAGGCCTCGTAATTAATAATCTGCCACTCTATGGTTAATTCTCGTTGTTTTTGAGAACACTAGATCTACTACAATGGACTGAATATTTAATTATTTTAGTAATGAAATATTTTGTACAAGATTTTGTATGTAAAGATAGCGCAGAAACTAAAATATATCATTTAGTTTATCCGATTACTTACAACCATTGACGTCTTTAAGTAAACGTGTATATTTCTTGTGGGTAGTATTTTTGTCCAACCTGTGTGATTGTTTTAAGTATTGAAACAAGTGACTTTTTATAATGACAAATCTAAGTATTACCTTAAAAAGCGCAATTGCCATGGTAAATTGCCAAGGAGTTCTCACGAGTTCTGAAATACAATAAACTTTCTGAGATCCAAGAGAAAACTTATAGAAACTCAAGAAGTGTAAAAAGACTTGTATTAAAATTAGACCTCCAACCAAAAAGTTCTCAAAACTGAAATTGAAGACATTTTAACACATTCTAACACCTTGCCAATGATCCTTGGTCAATGATCCGTTTGCTTGTTGACAGCACCAGTTTATTTTTTAAACTACCTTCTTTCTGACAATAACTTTTCCTCCTACACTGGATGAATTGTCATAATAACATCAAAACAGCTTTTTGCAGAGCGTTTGTGTTTGTTTTATAATTTTATTGTTGTTCTTATCAGATATCCTAGTTTTCTTGGTTTTCTCTCGTGCTACTCCCGTTTCTTGGGTTGTAGACCATTTGGGTTTCTATTTTGTTTTAAAACTCACTCGTGGGAACTCTATAATTTTATCCATTCATAATGGTAGTTGCGCTTTCTAACTCAAAAATTTCAAGTGTAAATTGCTGCTTGTTACTTGTTTTTTTGTTTCACGATATAATGTATATGCAGCTATAGAAATGTCGATCTTTCTGCTGATTTTATCTGATTTTGTTTTTTTTTCCAAACAGGTGATCTATTTAAGCGTTCTGCTGAATCATTCTTGTTTTCTCTTCGAAACAATGAGGATTTGGAACCATTTGTTGCATATATAAAACCTGGCGAGGAGGATTATGCTGTCTTTTGCAATTCTGATTGGGGTCTAGGGCTTGGTGTTGATATGGGAATTTCGAACTGTGCAAATGAATGTCAACTGTCTTTTGCTCAACTAGGTACAACCTTTCAACTGCCACCGGATGTGTGTAATGCTCGCACTATCTTAGCTGGTAGTCTGTATTTTACTCCAAGTGAGGTTGAAGTTTTTAACTAAGTGCAATGAAAGATAGTTGTACAGTCATGACAGCTATCGTTTCTGTGGTGAAGGCGGGGGAGGGGGGGAGGGGGAAGAAAGTATTTTCTTCAATGCACAATGGAATACCAGACTTCTTAACTTCAACTTCGGGTTTTCATAATAATTTTAGAGTAATTTACTCTGCGGTAACTTGAATTCATCCCTTCCCCCAGGTTTTCTTTGTACATTTTGTTTTTTATTGATAAGTCAAACGAATTTAGTTTCCTTTCATCAAATTTTCCTGGATAACTCTTGAACGTATATCCTTAAAAGCTAAAGTTAAGTTAAACCTCAAAGGCTTAATTTTTTAAAAAGTCGAAGGTATATTCGCTCCTTTCTTGAGATGCAATTTATATAAATTGTAAATAAATTAATCCCAGATAATCAAGCTCAGCACATATAAGATTAAAATAATTTCCTGCCATGCGAAGAATGGGGTAACTTATTTAAATGTGCTGTCTCTTGAACTCAAAAATCACCCACTTTTGAAATTTACAATAGAAAGTGGTATTATCAGTTTCTCCTCAGCCACACTTATTGTCGGTAAACGTCGTCGTCTTAAGCATTTTGAAAACTGCCCATGCAGATTATCCTAGCAAAATACTATTTCTAAAAACGGCAATTGCAATTGGCCTCATGGAGGCTATCTGGGATTCATTCATTTAGAACTTATAATGATTTATTTAGAAAGGAAAAATCTTTTTCTTTTATTATGATTAGTTTCATAAGGTCATTGTAAACAGCCTGTTTCAATAGCTCTATCTATACAACTTTGATGTTGCTCATGCTTTTTGTATGTATAATAGGGATTTTTCAATGTATTTAATCACTCTTAAACTATCTGAATGTTGCTTTGTTCAAGCTAACAATTTAACAATTGTAAACGAACTTTGAAACTACCAATGCGTCGATTGCTTTTTTCTTAGTCTATTACGCAACATTATCAACACCTTTGATAATTCGAGCCTCCGTCTAAGGGCCTGTTATATGGAGCCGAGTTACCCAGCTGAGCGAGTTACTCGCCTAGCCGGGTAACTCGGCCCTTACATAAAATGAATGCATTTCCCGGTGAATATTTTATATGACACATCCGAGTAACTCGCTTTGCCGGTAACTCGGTTTGTGTAAACGAGTTACCCGGCTAGGCGGGATGAATTTTTCTTTATAAACGAATTTGCTGGGTAACTCGGCGAGGCGAGAAAATTGGCTCTGTTGGTACGCAAGCGTACTAAGCCTTGTACTTGCAGTATTATAATACAAAAACATACACATATCATAATTTTCAATTTTATATTCACCCATTCCATTTTTGCTGCAAAACTGTGAGGCTTTTTAAAATCTCGCGCCTTCACTCGAAGTTAGCATAGCAAAACTTCATTTAAGATTAATAAACGGAAGTGCTAGCCGAGCTACCCGGTGCCATATAAACAGATCACTTTGTCAAACCCGGCTAGGCGAGTAACTCGCTCAGCCGGGTAACTCGGCTCCATATAAACAGGCCCTAATTTTGACAAATTTTCATTTGACTTTGGCGTTCAGTGGCGTACGGGAATCGTTGATTGGGGGCGGGCACAAATTCATATGTGCATGTCTTAATTTGCTGTAAACAATGGATTTCGAAGGAGTTTATTGCGGCAGAACATGAGTATATGAATATGTGCCCCACCTCCCCCATCCCCCACTTAACGATTCTCGTACGCCACTGTTGGCGTTCATGTTCTTGGGGCTCTATTTCTCATTACTTTTTTAATGACTGGTCAAAAAAACCTTAGGGGTACTCATCTTCAGAGTCAAGTGACTCTAATGATGAGTACCGCTTAAAATACCACACAAAAACACCGATCTACATGAGCCAAGTTGACATTCATTCTTTGTATGTGAATATCTTAGATGATAATTCGCACTTGTACCAAGATGCCCTCATAACTTTCTCATCAAACTTTTGAAGATCATGTTTCTGCTTCTCAAGATCAAATGATACATTTTGGATTGCTTCTTTTTCCTTTATAGCATGCTTACCGTTTTATTGGAAAAAGCATTTGTGCTTTACGTTCAATATCTGTCATCGTCCGATGCTGAATCTTTCGTACTTTGTGCATTTGACTCATTCTGCTCGAGAAGCAAAGACCTTCGCGTTTATGTTTTTGGCCTTTTACATTTTTTGCAATCCTGTGTTTTTTATTTTGTAATAGCTAAGTGTCATGTCAGAGAAAGCAAAGTACACGTATAATTTTTATCGATGTCATTTGCAAAGAAGAGCGCAAAAAAATTACCCGTTTGTCTCTCACCGCGTGCTGCACTTAGCAACGTTTTTTTATCTGCACTTGGCACGTACTTTTATCTGCACTTAGCAACGTACTTTTATCTGCACGTAGCAACGTACTTTTATGTGCATGGAAAGTTGGAAACTTAACTTTTCAACGGCCACAGCAAACGTGACGAAACCTTCAGTTTAATGCTTAACCTGAATCAGCTGTAATACTTTTGTCTAGCGATCAAGTATCGTGCTGTGGTGTTATTCTGCGTTTACATTGGTCCGTTTAAATTCCGCTACAGTTTGGCGGGTGTTTGCACGTGATGTCTATCGGTTTCAAAATTCAACATTCGTTACCTCTTTGTGGAAGATGGCGCCATTTCTTATTTGCATATTACTAGAAGTTTATATCTCTTGACGTTTGTTATAATAAACATCGATTTTTAATAATTACAATGGAATCAGTCATTAAGAGCTTTCCAAAACAGAAAGGAATCACCATTTTCAATTATGCGGCACAAGGCTGTACAAATTAAGGAGAACTGGTATCAAAGTGTAGTGAAATATTAACGGTTATCTGCTTACAGGACAATGTGTAGCGCTCCGTTTTCGTTCAACCACGTTTAAAAAGTGTGGTCGTATCTCTCCGCTTTCGTTCAGCCACTTTTAAAAAGTGTGGTCGTATCACTCCGTTTTCGTTCAACCACTTTTAAAAAGTGTAGTCGTATCGCTCTGGAGCAGTATAAATGCAACCCGGTTCTGTTAATCTTTTGCGCTGTTTTCCGACCAATCCGGAGTAGTGTAAACGTAGTCTTGGTGGAGAAATTTTGGTTAGAATCCTTTGTGATTAACTATATAAATAAACCTAATAAATAAGAACAAAATGAAAAGACAATCTTGTAAAAACATAACAATTTGTTAAAATTTTATTACTGATAATCTTTTCTCTTAAGATATACAGTTTATATAATATATTGTGTATTCGAGTCACATTGAATAGTGTTTTATAAATTGTCTTATAACCAGACAAGGAACAAGAAGTTTAATAAGTAACTTTAAACTTAATTATGAACATTTGAGGACCTTTATGACTTTTTTCTTCCATGTTGGTTTTGTTTTTGGTACTAGTTCTTCGTCTTGAGATATATCCTCTTCGATAAAATTTCCCTCTAGCTCCTTGAGTCTACTGAGTCGAAATGTTCTATATTTTTCCAGCTCGCTTTCAAGATTCTCAATGGTACGCTCTGCTTCGTGTAAAATATTCATAATATTATCAGGAATTTCGTATTGTCTCAAAGCTCGTGAAAGTTTATGAAGTTTGTCTGCAATCTGGGTTTCCCTTGATATTGCAAGAATAGAATAATTTTCTATCTTGCAGCAGCCTTGGCAGCGGTTTGTAACAATCTCAAGTCGACCAACTCTATCCAGTGAATCAGTTTGAATCATAATATAAATAATAGACAATGTCGTCACAATCGATTGAATCATCAAAGCCAATTTTAAGGTGCGAAATTTGGCTAATTTCGCAATGAGACTTCTGAAATTAGATAAAAATCGTTACTCTTACTAATTATATTTATTTAGTTTATAAATTTATCTTGCCAGCCTAGCGCGTTGTAGAGGAAACGATTTTATGTTTTGCAATGTTCTATTTTTTGTTTACAGTAAACATCGGACGCAGTCGCTTGGTCGCCGCTCAAAATCCTCTAACCAGCCGAATATGGATGGCGTTTATAGAAGAATGGACTGGGAATCTTATGTTTTCAACGAAAGTGAGTCGATTCTAAACTAAAAAAACAAGTTTAAATTGCTCACAAAAAAAACGTCCAGAAAAGAGATTCAAGAGCCTAGAAATTCTGTTGTGCTGAATGAATTGTTGATTTTGAGCATTTTAATGTATGTAAAGTATTTAAATGAATTCATCCTCAATTCTTCGGCAGTCAGAATGATCACTACAATTTATTGCGGATGTTGTAACAGTTACCACTAAATGTAATGTTTAAAAGTCCGAAAGGAACTTAAATTACTCAAATACAATCCTTTTTTACTTGACAATCCTTTGCTTTTCTAGCTTGCGCGCTGTGTATTTCTGATGTAAATGCAAATAAAAAAGTCAGCTAAGATCAGTTTTTTGAAGTGATTAAAGATTGCTCTACTCCTTACCACTCACCACAGTAAATATATGAAAACAACTTCGGTTCAACTGAGTAACGAATTAAAACTCATAATTAGTCGCAAGTACCTTCGTCGCAGTACATTGAAAAAATATACCCGACAAATCTTATAAGTCGGACCATAATGTGAGCTGCTCATTTGTCTAGAATTCAGCTTCAGGGGTGATTTGAATTTGTTTACCGCATTGTAACACTCATTTGACTCTGAAGATGACTACCGCTAAGGTTATCGAAACGTCTTTCAGCAACAACAAAAACAGTCCTTCTCTGGACTTTATTGACCTGGACGATCATCATTTACAAACATATAACGATACTCCCGGGTTCAAACCATTTATTTTATTGTAACACTGTTGATATCCCAATAATCAAAATATGTTAATTTTTGTGTGATTGCCAACGAGTTATACTATGATTTGAATTTAGATGCAGAGAGTCTTAGATAGTAATTATGGTAAGGTTTTTGATAAAACAGATTTCATGTACTTTCTTATAATTTATTTTTTATTAAATATTTTATGCAGTACAAACGCACCCGTGAGTTCAGTTGGGTGATGAACAATTTTGCCACCATTTGAATATTTGAAATTTCTTCCCCATACCACAGTTTACCACGTTAATGACTGAAAGAGTATTGCGTGTTATGTCTTGGTGATAATAATTTAGTAATTAAACTAAACAAAACTTTAGAATTATCATTTTTTTAAACCATTTATGTTGTCTTAGGTCTCCAATCGTAATCTTTGTAATAAAATATAAAACAGAGACTATTTGTATGAAAGCCCTTAAAAGATTTTGTAAACAAATTAATATGTAAAACATAGCGAAGAACAAGACCAACTTTGTTCTTTAAATTGATCTTTCTAAGCTTATCAAGTAACAATGTGCACATTATACCTAAATTTTTTTTTGTTAAAATTGAGTAACAGCAGCTCGAAAAGCATTGAAATACTGTGTTTTATTTTCATATTTAATTAGTTAAGTTATTTTGTCATTGAGTACACGTGTGTAGTATACGTCATGCGCATATTTGTATAATAAAATTTACCGAGAAAAAGTCCAAACAATTTATATGATTATTATCAATAAGCCTTCTGAAACTCTTTTAATCAATCAACCTTAATCACTGTACTAAATAGCTCTTGAAACATAGAGTAAAATTTTATATTTTCACATATTTTTCGAAATGAGGGGAAACTAGTAATTTGCAGTTTCGTTTATAGCAACGCATTTTTCTTTCCTGCTGTTTCAGTTTTATTTTCATAGCGTATGCAACAGTGCTACATGTACTTGTTATTCTTTTAATTCTATTTATTTAAAGACATTTAACGTAAGTCGCCGTTCACACTACATATTGCTCTCGATTTAATTTTGCCTTTAAGAAAATTTATTAAGTAAACTACTAATAATTTTACTGTTATAGCAACTTTGTGGTGTTGCCAATTGAAATCTTTACAGAGTGCTATATGCTGCCGTATTTGAACCGTTCAGACAACACTCCGTCATATGTGAATTTGTCTAGAATATTTGATTGTTCCATAGATTTCCTTACGAGAATTGACATTTTTAATTTTTTATAGTATCTTACCTGTTGTAAACCATAGTAGAGCTTTCTTCAATTTCGACGACTATATAGATTACGCTTTAAAAAAATGATCGGCCATCGACAGCAGACGGAATAGTTTGACGACAGTAAAGATTGCCTGCTTATTACAAAGATTTGATGATTAATTTTGCTGTGACGGTTCAAAATGCGTAAATGTCTTAAAACTCTTTCAATTGAAACAATTAAATGCAAAATACTATAGTTTGAAATTGGTTAAATGCAAAAATATTAGTTTGCCGACATATAATGTCGCATTTTTATCTAACAAATCAGTCCAAAATCTGAATTTGATAATGTTGTATGTTGTATATCCAGCGCTAAGTTCAACATAAAAGAGCTCAAATCTATCAATCATTAATTGCTAATTCCAAATATTTTGATTTATTGGTAGTGTCAATGCTATTTTATATACGATTTGATAATGTAACACCGTCCTTTCATAATCGTCAATATTTCATACAAAAATAGAATTATTTGGCCATATGAATTCAAGTTTATATGTCTTTGCAATTAAATAAGAATTTTTGTCACCATAACAACCTTATTTGTGTATTTTGAGTGGGAGTTAGAATGTTGGTGCAAGTTCAAAAAAAGTGTTTGTCTTACACAGTAGGTACAGTGAGTTACGTATAAAGTGTTTCATTGTATTTGTTTGTCATGGCAGATGTTCAAGAATGAAGATAAAATATATAAATTGGGGACTTGAGTTTTTATGTTATTTTTACACAATTCTCTTCAACTAATTCTTCTGCTTGTGAATGTGTTGGTGATTACAATTCTCTATTATACACTCACTTACACTTGATTCGTTCAAATTTGCTAAATACAAGTTATGAAAAAAATTCAAAACAAATGAAAAGGATTTAAAGTCTAATGTTCAGAAGATTTGTTTTCACATTTTGATGACAGCTGATAGAGCCAGACGAGTTAGCATGTGTGACTTAGTACAAAAAAAACATTCGTTGATTCTTCATGAACGAGGGACTTAAATAGAGCGGTGTATCATAGTTTTTTACTCGTTTTATTCTGGTCGATAGAATGGTAGTGAGAAATTTTGGAATTTGCAAATTTTTTGGTTTTGATATCTATTGATGACGTCGTCGTGAATAAACGGTAGATTTCTGTTTATCGTGCTATCTTATCGCTTGGGGCCACATTGATTATTAGTTTTTCATTATTCCTCATAACATATGAATTGTATAACATTATGGTATCCGCCATATATATGTGTGCGGTGTAAAGTACAAATTACCTTAGAAAAGTGTCAACATTTAACTAAAGCACAGACGATTATTTGAAGTGTGTTGATAACAAAGAGCACTGTTAATTTTGCCTTTGTTTTACTTTCATTTTAGCCCCTAAATTAATTATATTGTTCTCTTTAAATTGTGATTTTATAACACAAAACATTTTGATGCAACAATTGCTGTACAAATAATTTGCTGATGTAAACTTATATGTAGAGTGAGTAAAATGTGAATGAAACTAGCTATCTTGGGTGGACAAAATGCCATAGGGTGGACAAAATGAATAAAGTGTGAAAAGCGGACAAAAAGACTAAAATGCAGATCCGCTCCTTCTTATAAATCACAAGGCATTAAAATCGGTTTTCCGGTTAAAGATTGCTTATAACTGTAATAAATATCGCACGCAAAACGTTTTCAAAGTTTGTCGTAAGTGTAGAATTCATAAAAGCGTGCTATGTGGCTCTCTTTTAAACTAATATGAGTATTCACACTGAAAATCGTCGACAATCTATCGTTTATTTGTTTTGGTGCTTCTAAATGATTATTGGTGAAACGCGAAGACGATATACATATATCTTTCAATCTAAACTATAGTTGTTTACAATATCCATTGATGGGGAATGTTCTGCACTCTAAACTAACAAAATGTGTCGGATATGAATTGCAGAAGTATTGATCTATTCTTGACTTGCAAGATACGTCGTGGTCGCAAAGTTGGATGATTTTAACCCTTTCATTCCCAAATTATTAGCCGTGGCCAAAAAAAATTTTCTGCGCTATATACGCATAAAAACAATGTTAAATATGTCACGAATTTCATTGCTAGTCTAAAAATTTATATTTTCATGGAATTAAAATTTTGTTGCCAAATGGCAACATTGGGAGTATAGTGACATAGCTCTATACTTAATACTCATGTTTATTGATTGACATTGAAGTGTTATAATTATTTTACCTGTATTAAAATCCATAAAATTAACTAAAAATACAATTGATCAGTGAGGCTCCCATTTACTCCAAGTAAAAGAAAAAAATATGTACAAAATAGCAATACTACAAGTAAGAAATATTTACAACTATAACAATTTTACTTTTTGTGATACACAATATGTATTGGCTTGCTGTCATACCACTTAACAGTTTTGATACCTTTATCGTTAAGCTTGTTGTCATAGCTTCCACGACCATCTTTCTTCATTTCTTTGTCTGATTTAAGTTGACAACCTGCCATTCGATCCTTGCAAATAGTGCCAACTGCCCAAATGCCTCTTTCTTTTAACATTTCTAACAACTGCACTGATGCAAACCAGTTGTCAAAATACATCTTGTAATCTTTGTGATCTGCCAAATTTTTGGTAAGTCTTAGTACAATATTGCCAGAGATACCAAGATCTCCTTTCAGTTTCATTTGCTTTCCAGTGTATATTTCAAAGTCATACATCATTCTGGATGCACCGGCCCTTGTAAAGACTTTGAAACCCTTATGGGTTTGTTCTTATTGTATTGTTTCAGGTAACTGCGACCTTTGAAGGGAATTATTTGCTCATCAATGCTGTTACGTTCCTCTGGGTCAACTTTGAGCATGTTTTTTCTCAAACTGCTCAATAACGGTTGTATCTTGAATAAAGGATTGTAATCAGGATGATTTCTTCCTGGCAGTTTGGAATTATCATTGAAATGCAAGTAGTGCAGGATAATTTCAAAGCGATTTCTTGCCATTGTTTCAGCAATAGGATTGAACCGAGAAGAATTTTCCCAGTACATTCTGTATGATGGTGCAGGAAACAGACCCATGTATAAGAGGATGGCAAAAACTTCTCTATTTCATCATTTTGGATAGCACATTCCTTACCATCCTTCTGCATTGCATAAATATTACTTTGTTCAGTGCATTGTTTTATCATTTCAAAATCAATGAACATGTTGAAACATTCCAAAGGGGAATGCAGTTCTTCAGGTCGATCTGGGAATGTATCATTGAAATGGTTTTCGGGAAAAGGAACATCTTTCTTTTGCCATTTACACTTTTTGTCTTGCATCACTTTGCTGGTTTAGATCGCCTTACAGGTTCATCATCATCTTCAATATCATTCACTTCACTATCTTCATGAACTGCATGAATTTCAAGTTGTCTGGAAGGGCAACAAAATCTGGATCCTCAGCATGGGAAATATCTTCCACCTCATCATCACCATCATCAATGCCGCTTACATCTGATATTTCACCATTAGGACAAAAATATCTACTGCTTCAGTCAAATCCATAACTCTCTTAAAAATAAAAAACATCAGTTATAGAAAGAAAATGCTTAGTTTATATTCAATTAACAATATTTCTACAGTGACATCTTCCAGAGATTGATCTGCCCATTGTTGTCACATGGCAACAACATTATACATTAGAAAATCTATGTGGGCTGATCGCGCTTTTAATAAAATAATTGTTTAAATATGACGAGGAACAGTAATTTAATCCATTAATATTTTTATATATCTTAAAACTAAACATATTATAGTTAAACTTACCTTTGAAAATGCGCAAAAATTTGCTGTCACTAACTTCCGTAGGACACCATGTGCAGGGTTGTTAGGCTCCAGCGCTCGTTTGTAGCCAAATATGGTTTGAAAAGTGGCCAAATGGCAACAAAAGAGGCCAAACTTGTTTTCTGAGCCCGCACTGTTTATGGCATGCGGTTTTAATAAGTTTTTCTAATTGCTTCTTATAGTCTATATGGATTTATCATAAATATATACCATACATTGCAAATCTAGCGATGCCAACGCCTAATGTTCACATCAAAGGACATATGGGAAGAGGTGAATACAGAACGTAAGACTGAAAATTAATTTGCTGTTGCAAAAATATAAGGTGCTTGTTGACGAAATGAAGAGAAAAATGAACTACACGTCCAAAATTTCTTGATAAGCATTACAAGCTTAAAAGGCCATGTCAAAATACAAAGTGAATAAACTATTTTATCTGTCTTTCTATAAGATCTCGACGTGCATAGTTGTCATTTTTACTGCTCTCCATATATACAGATTTATATAAATATTTATGCATAGTTCTTATAATGTTTATTCTACTCACATTCATACATGTGTTTAGTGGCAAACAGCTCAAGCATTCGCTTAGTTACCTTAAAGTTAATGCAGCAGTTCCCGGCAAAGTGTAGGCTGGAACGAATACGAATAATGGCATTTAGCAGTTCTAAGCTCATCCTATTGCGTTGTTTGGTCTTCACTGATGTCACCAAGGAAAAGGTTCTTTCAACCACTGCATTGCTTACAGGATTTGTCAGGCAGCTAAGGCGTAAGTTGCCAATTCCTTGAATGGTTTGACCCCAAGAGAAGTTTGGAACTGAACTATCTTTGACCAAAATGCAACTGCTGTATCAGGTATGATGCCGTTAAAAATTTGTTCCTCTTTCCAATTTCGGTGGACGATCTTCCTGTACTGCTCCTCAATTGCATAATCTTGATCCTTTCGTAGATTAGGAAGCGGCAGTTGCTCAAAATCGGCTCTCGTTGTTACATCAAGAACTTTGCTTGGATGCAGGGCGCTTAAACCTTTAAAGATATTCCGGACAGCTGGTAAACGTTGCTCTACTTGATTTACAGCTTCCACAAGAAATTCTAGACACCTATTTTTCACTTCAGAAACTTCAGCTTCAGCACGTCGTTTGTCTTGTTGGGAAGAAATGTATTTCTTTGCTTCTGACAAGAACTTTCCACCAAAGTCAACTTCATAAATGGCTAGATATTTTCCTTGGTGGTCGAAAACTCTACCATATAAACTTTTATGGTGTACATTTAGTTCCGTGAACATTTCTTCTGGGTCACCATCAGTTGCCTGGAAGAAGGCATTCACCCTGTCGAATTCTGTGACCAGAGGAGAAACGAAATGGAAATAAAGATATAGGACTGGATCATTGAGCATGTCCAGAAGAATACGAGCCTTGAATCTTGCTGCCTGCGTCGTCTCTGGTTGTGCTGTTCGGAAGTAAGCTTGCAGCTCAAACCAATTTGTGAGAATGCGAAATATAACTTTTCCTCTCACAAGCCACCTCGTAGTTGAGTACTTCTCAAACGGTGCATCTTGCACATCATCTGGATTCATCACTTCGTAGAGCGTCTTGTATGCTTCTCTTCTAATAGCGCTCTTTGAAAACCATTTCGGAATTTCTGCCAGAAGAAATCCTACACTCCACGGAAGTTTCTCAAATGCATGCTGAACACAAAGGGACAACGAATGGCAAATACACGTCATCTTGATGCAATGAGGAGCGACAGCAGCTATTCTTGTCCACAGCGAATTGTGTTCCCAACCATCACTGAAGCACCGTCACTAGCATAGCCAACACAATTCACTAAATCAAGTTTAATTGTGGCAAGGCAATCTTTGATTGCATTAAAAAGATCATCTGCCGAAGTGTGGACAACAGGAACCAGGTCAACAAACGCTGTAACGATCTTATTTTCAACTTCGCTGAAATACCTTACGATAATGCAGACCTGCTTCGATGTGGAAATATCAGTAGATTCATCCACAATTAACGAAAACTTCTTACCCTGGACATCAGCAATCAGTTGTTCCTTCAACGCTGGACTTATAACTTTGGTCAATAGTTTTGAGCATTTGTTTCTATGCATTTTAATGTTCTCAAGTTTGCTTCCATGAGCATTTCGGGCTATTATCCTCCGAGATGATCCATGGTCAAGATTGCCGAATGGCAAGCCATTGTAACAGCTAGCTCGATCTCGGCGACCTTTACTTCTTCTGCAACTTTTGGGACACGTACGACTTGGATGGGCCTTGTAGTAGTAGATACTTTAATGTGTTTGATGTGTTTATCAGTTTTTTCGTGTTTGGTTAAGTTTGCTTGTTTGGGTCTGATTGTGGCACGGCACAATTTACAAAAAGCATCTTCACTTCCGTCTGAAGCTTTTGTGAGCCAGCTAAATTTACTTTCCCAAGATTTGTTATATTTTCTTCCGCTATCATACGCTCCTTTCCATTTTGATGCCATAATATTGCAACGAATAACGTTTTTATCAGTCTTAACTAGTATTAGTAGTGGTCGAACGTGCTATTTATAGCTAGATGTTGGACGTCTACGAAGACAAAGCTGTGTGCTTGCTTGTGATTAGCTGGTTAAATTGCATGACAATTGGCTGAATTATACTTAGCTGTGATTGGATGAAAACAATTCAATGCTCAATTTGATCCTTATGATCATTTTAGTTGTATTTCCATCGCATTTTGTACATTTAAGAGATTTTACAAATAAAGCTCAATAAAAATTTTAAAAAAATTGTTTGAGTAAAAAGAGGCCAAAAAGTAGCCAAATAGCCAAAAAAAAATTTCGAGGCCAAAGAAAGAAAAAAAAGGCCAAAATCGAGTTATTTGGCCTCAAAAAGGCCAAACTAACAACCCTGACCATGTGAAATAGTCAATGAAACTAATATAAAAACAAATTTACGAAGATTTGCCTCACATATCACATCACCCACATCAAAACCTAAAAACGCTTGCCTGATTTTTGTTTTTGAGCTTACTTCATGTAAGCTATGTAGCATAAAAGACAATGTTGCCATATGGCATCATTGGGAATGAAAGGGTTAAAAAGGGATCTTATTTATTTACAATGCAAATTTTATAAAAGTTGTCAAGCATTCCATTTGTTCCTTACTACCAGGGGAATGGTTGCGACCAACCAATAGTTGATGAATGCGTGGGAATTTTTAAGACAACGACGCTCTTTAAGCTAATAACATCTCAACTCTCAAATGTCAATCTACGTACCATTGATTGTTCTTTTTACTATATGAGTGGGAATCAAGATGTCGGTGCAAGTTTAAAAATGTGTTTTTTTACGTAGAATGAGTGGTATACGTAGAGCGTTACTTATGTATGGAGTGTTTTTTTTGTATATGCTTGTCTTGGTAGGTGCTCAAGATTTAAGAGAAAATATTTAGAGTTGTTATGTTATGTTATCGAAGGTCAATTCAAAATTAATTACTCTTTTAGTCTGTATATTTAGTGTGCACAAATAGTACTTAAAACAGTGAAAAGTTTTTGGAAAATTTATTTTCTCAAGAAAAGGCATTTTCTTTGTATATTTGTGTAAAGTACGAATTGCTTTGAAAAAATGTCAACATTTAACTTAAGCAGGGACGATTATCTAATTAAAGTGTGTCAATATAAATACCTTGTGAATTTTGAGTTATTTTTACTTTCATTTTAGCCGCTAAATTTATTATATTCTTTTCACTAAATCGTGACTTTAAACAATAAAAACAAATTGATTCAAGAAATGCGCTCTGCTAGTGCAAACGTAAATGTCCAATGAATCAATGAGAATATCTGGACAGTCTGTAAAGTATTCTCATCGATCGCAATGTTGAGGGGAAATTGCATGTATTGAGAAAAATTCAAAATCGTGGCCAAAGATTTGCCAGGCAAAAGCGAATTTTCATGATGATTGTGATAACCCGGCATAAGTCTTTTAATGAAGTCTTAATAACAATAAATCAAGAATAAAAATAAAAGGTTTTATATTAATGACGTTTCGTCTTTAAAAGACGTCTTCTGACAAAATGACAATATTTACATGAGATTGCAAATGGAAGCAGACATTTACAGGGTGTTAATTCTCATATGAGAAAAGTAGGAAGGTTGGATGACAGGACAAAATGGAAGGAACAACATTTAATGGAGGTAAAGAGGATTATTATTTGGTTATATTTAAAGCCTCGTGTAAATATTTATTATTTTGTTCTGAACATATCTTAAGGCAAAGATCAAACGTCATATAACAAAGAATCTTTTTGTTTCTAATTACTGTCGTAATGGCTCCATTAGAAGTCTTTTGTTGGGCTATCACGTTTATAGTGAAAAGATTTTATGTTAATCTCATGGTCTGTTGAGCAACACACTTTCATCTAGTCCCGCATTTAACGTTATATGCAAACACTTCATAGAATTGATTTGCAGTTTATAGATTTAATTTGTATCTAACGGTATACGTTATAATCTTGCTCGTTTTTGGTGTTTCGTTGAGGCAGATCTAGGTAATCAATTTGTAATAATTTCTTTAAGTATATTTTACACAGTGCTGTAGAAGTGGAGGGACGCTATTGACAAGAACATCAAGAGAACCCCTCATCTGACTAATTTATTTCTACAGCACTGATTTTACACTGAACATTCATATATAAAATTTAACCTTAATGAGGGCCTGAGGTGAGAATGTCTTTTAAATATAGATTGTTTAAGTTCTAATATCGCCCAGCTCATGTTTCTTTGTCGAATTGCTAACAATAATGGATACATTTCACTGCATCATAGGATGATACATGCAAATGATCCTATCAGTTGTTACATTTACCAAATTCCCATGGGAAGTGTAATGAATTTCCTTTTTTGGTTAAGTCCTCTTCTTCAACATGCGTCAACATGAAAAAGTACAACATTCACCTTGTCTCAATTTCAAAAGAAAATACATTTCAACGTTCGGTTCCAAAATTCAGGAGAATTCAACAACAAAATATACGTAAAGATTGGTCATGGTGCAGCTGAAGCTTTTATCAACTATCAATTTTTATTCAATCTAAATTTCATATGATTAACGATTTAGATTACTACTTATTATAACAAACTTATTTCTATTGAATCTCAATTTTACGACTGGTTACCAAATTCAACTATTTATAAATGTTTATTCGTTCAACTTTACCTCGAGACTGAAGTGTAACTAAGCACTTAGCTATATTCTGATCTACATAATTATTGAACTTATAATCCTCCACCCTTCCCAATTAACTTCTCATCTTCATTCCTTATAACTTTTTGTTGATTGGATTATAACACTTTTTGATGTTGGTCTACAATATTCTCCAGCAGATGTCTTTACCTTATCGTTTCTTACTTTACAATCGTCAACAAAGTAAACTTTAATAATACTTCCAACAATCCATTTCCTCGTATGGTATTATTGTCTGCAATAGTTACAAAATACCCGAACCTTACGTCACGATTTTCGACATCTTTCTTTTTTGAGGTAACAAAACTGAAAACATTTCGATTCAAATGTTTTCAAAAGAAACTCACATTTTTTGTACAAATTCGACTCTTAGTCGTGGAACCTTTGTCTCATGATCCCCGAGGTCCTTAAGGTAGGACCCGTCATCAGGATTGTTTGTTTGTCTAGTAATAGGGGATTGAGATACAAAAAAATTGCTACCTCTAATAAATACGTATTTAGTTCGAAAGGTTTATGGACTTAATACCCACTTCGCAATTTCAAAGCTAGCTTAAAACTCCTCACAAAAGCTTCTGCCCACCCATTATGACGAGGAGACCCCAGGGATAATAAATTGCCATTTAATGCTTTATCAGGTCACAAATCTTTAAGTTGTTCCCTGTTGAAAACATTAATTATGATCCTTAGCTCTTTTACTGCTCCAACTAAGTTTGTGCCGTCATTGAAGAGTAAAAATGATGGACAACCTCTAGTAAAAATTACCTTCTGATTGTTTGTATGAACTGCATCGTCGTGTTGCTTTTAGATGCTTTATGCACAGGAATTAAGGCAAAGTCATGCCCTTTAATAATCCAATACTCTCTCCTGATTCTTGCAATGGTTGTTGCAACTCCCACGTTTCCAAATGCAGTAGCTTCTCCTTTATAATTTGAATATTTTGTGTTTTTGCCAAGCAAAATCATCCTTTCTTCCTCAAACTTAAAAAATGACGTTCTTATAAGCAAATGGTCTCAAACTTATAAAGTCACATTTCAACTTTTTCTTTGAAACGTCCTCGAACTTTCCTAATCAGATAAAGACGTTTACGTTCTATCTCATTCGGAGTGATATTGTGCTCTTGACATTACACTAGTTTTATCTAACTTCATCTTGGCTTTCAACTTGTGCGTGTTTTGAAAGAGGCATATAAGTTTTTGCAAGTAAGAAACTCTGTCCTTGTCAATGATACCCATCCTTTTCACGGATTTAGCTAAACCTACTCTTTCTCCCCTTTGCATTTCTTTATATATCTCATTATTATCAAGCTCCATAGCCTCTTTGGCCATTCTTCTTGGGATTTACGCATAAGTTCTGGTATACTGAGTGAAGTATCGTCAGCAGGGTTTTTCACACTCGAAATGTGTTTTTATTTGATTCGTTTGTATTACTTGTAATTTCTCCAACACAGTTGGGCGGAAACAGTTTATAACGATTTTTCTGATTTGAGATTCAAACTTGTGTAACGGAACTGTCTGTGAACAAAATAACTTCTCTGATTAGTATTTGCTTTTCGTCTTGAATACTATTTCATAATGTGCTTGCTAAAACTGCTGCTTTATCACGGAATGCTTAACTCCTTCTGTTGTGATTTAGCTGTGACTCTCTTCCTTTACCTTCCGTTTGTATACGTACATGTCTCATTTGAAGCCCGTGCTGATAAGTTTGGTAGCTCTGTGTGATAATTGGAAGAGATTATTTAAGTGTTCATTTCTCTACAGAGTTGAGAATCCAACTCTAAACCTGACAGACAAAAATCCTGCATTCCAATCTTTGCTGTTTTCAGAGACGAAGCTGTATACCATATGGGATATTATATTCTTGCTATTCAAATGCGAGTACTTCCTTTTGTCATTGTTTTAGTTACGCGTCTGTCATAACTTTATTTTTCAACACCTGTTTCTAATTACACCATTAAACACCAAGTACATTTTCTTCATTTTCCATATGGGTTAATTAGTTTACTCAATTGCTTTGTCTTGAATTCATTTGATGTCTTTGAAGCTACCTTTCGCAAGGATTTTATATGTTTTGTCAGAGATCTATTGCTTTGTAAGATTTATCGACTGAACCCAAGATATAATCTACGCATGAGTCATCTAAAATTAGATGGTGCAGCTCTTAGATCAAATTTTTTTCTGTCTTTCATTTTTTTTAAACGTAGTTTGGGCAATGGTAGGAGTTTGTTGATCGTCAAAAGAACTGGTATCAAAGTGTAATGAAATATTAACGGTTATCTGTTTACCGGACAATGTGTAACCCTCCGTTTTCGTTCAACGACGTTTTAAAAGTGTGCTCGTATCGCTCCGTTTTCGTTCAACGACGTTTTAAAAGTGTGCTCGTATCGCTCCGTTTTCGTTCAACGACGTTTTAAAAGTGTGCTCGTATCGCTCCGTTTTCGTTCAACGACGTTTTAAAAGTGTGGTCGTATCGCTCCGTTTTCGTTCAATCACGTTTAAAAAGTGTGATCGTAGCGCTCCGTTTTCGTTCAATCACGTTTAAAAGTGTGATCGTATCGCTCCGTTTTCGTTCAATCACGTTTAAAAAGTGTGGTCGTAGCGCTCCGTTTTCGTTCAATCACGTTTAAAAAGTGTGGTCATATTGCTGCGGAGAAAGCGATGTCTTCGGACAATTCCGCTCCGGTGCAGTATAAATGCAAACCGGTTCTGTTACTTTTTTGCGCTGTTTTCCGAGCAATCCGGAGTAGTGTAAACGTACTCTTAGTGGAAATATTATGGTTAGAATCTTTGTGATTAACTATATAAATAAACCTAATAATTAAGAAAAAAATGAAAAGACAATCTTGTAAAACATAACAATTTGTTAAAATTTTAATACTGGTAATCTTTTCTCTTAAGATATACAGTTTATATAATATATTGTATATTCGAGTCACTTTGAATAGTGTTTTATAAATTGTCTTATAACCAGACTAGGAACAAGAAGTTTAATAAGTAACTAAATATACACACTATTTTATTATAATCTTGCGCAATGAGATTTTTACTAGGGCTTCACTTTAAACTTAATTTGAGAACATTTGAGGACCTTTATGACTTTTTCTTCCATGTTGGTTTGGTTTTTGGTACTAGTTCTTCGTCTTGAGATATATCCTCTTCGATAAAATTTCCCTCTAGCTCCTTGAGTCTACTGATTCGAAATGTTCTATATTTTTCCAGCTCGCTTTCAAGATTCTCAATGGTACGCTCTGCTTCGTGTAAAATATTCATAATATTATCAGGAATTTCGTATTGTCTCAAAGCTCGTGAAAGTTTATGAAGTTTGTCTGCAATCTGGGTTTCCCTTGATATTGCAAGAATAGAATAGTTTTCTATCTTGCAGCAGCCTTGGCAACGGTTTGTAACAATCTCAAGTCGACTAACTCTATCCAGTGAATCAGTTTGAATCATAATATAAATAATAGACAATGTCGTCACAATCGATTGAATCATCAAAGCCAATTTTAAGGTGCGAAATTTGGCTAATTTCGCAATGAAACTTCTGAAATTAGATAAAAAATCATTACTCTTACTTATTATGTATAGTTAGTTTATAAATTTATCTTGCCAGCTAAGCGCATTTTAGAGGAAACGGTTTTATGTTTTGCAGAGTTCTATTTTTTGTTTACAGTAAACAACGGACGCAGTCGCTTGGTCGCCGTTCAAAATCCTCTAACCAGCCGAATATGGATGGCGTTTAAAGAAGAATGGACTGTGAATCTTATGTTTTCAACGTAAGTAAGTCGATTCCAAACTAACTTAAAATAAAAAAAATTTAAATTGCTCACAAAAAAACGTTCAGAAAAGAGATTCAAGAGCCTAGAAATTCTGTTGTGCTAAATGAATTGTTGATTTTGAGCATTTTAATGTATGTAAAGTTTATAAATGAATTCATCCTCAATTCTTCGGCAGTCAGAATGATCACTACAATTTATTGCGGATGTTGTAACAGTTACCACTAAATGTAATGTTTAAAAGTCCGAAACGAGCTTAATTTACTCAAATACAATCTTTTTTTACTTGGCAATTCTCTGCTTTACCAGTTCGCGCGCTGTGTATTGCCGAAGTAAATGCAAATAAAAAGGTCAGCAAAGATCAACTTTTAGAAGTGATTAAAGATCGCTCTACTCCTTACCACCCACCACAGTAAATATATGAAAACAACTTCGGTTCAACTGAGTAACGAATTAAAACTCATAATTAGTCGCAAGTAACTTTGTCGCAGTAAACTACAAAATTATACCCGACAAGTCTTATAAGTCGGATCATAATGTGAGTTGCTCATTTGTCTAGAATTCAGCTTCAGGGGTGATTTGAATTTGTTTACGACATTGTAACATTGTTGATATCCCAATAATCAAAATATGTTAATTTTTGTGTGATTGCCAACGAGTTATACTATGATTTGTATTTAGATGCAGTGAGTCTTAGCTAGTAATTATGGTAAGGTTTTTTGATAAAAAAGGTTTTCATGTACTTTCTTATTGTAATAAAGATATAAACGAGACTATTTGTAAGCCCTTAAAAGATTTTGTAAGCAAATTAATATGTAAAACATAGCGAAGAACAAGACCAACTTTGTGCTTTAAATTGATGTTTCTAAGCGTATCAAGTAACAATGTGCATATTATACCTAAATTTTTTTTTGTTAAAATTGAGTAACAGCATCTCGAAAAGGATTGAAATACACTGTTTTTTATTTTCATATTTAATTAGTTAAGTTATTTTGTCATTGAGTACACGTGTGTAGTATACTACGTCATGCGCATATATGTATAATAAATTTTACCGAGAAAAAGTCCGAACAATTTATATGATTAGTTATCAATAAACCTCCTGAAAGTCTTTTAATCAATCAACCATAATCACTGCTCTAAACAGCTCTTCAAATGTAGAGTAAAATTATATTTTTTCACATATTTTGGAAATGAGGGAAACTAGTAATTTCGAGTTTCGTTTATAGCAACGCGCATTTTTTCTTTCCTTCAGTTTCAGTTTTATTTTCATAGCGTATGCAACAGTGCTACATGTACTTGTTATTCTTTTAATTCTATTTATTTAAAGACATTTAACGTAAGTCCCCGTTCGCACTACATATTGCTCTCCGATTTAATTTTGCCTTTAAGAAAATTTATTAAGAAAATTACCAACTAATTTTACAGTTATAGCAACTTTGTGGTGTTGCCAATTGAAATCTTTATAGAGTGCTATATGCTGCCGTATTTGAACCGTTCAGACAACACTCCGTCATATGTGAATTTGTCTAGAATATTTGATCGTTCCATAGATTTCCTTACGAGAATTGACATTTTTTTTTTTTATTATCTTACCTGTTGTAAACCATAGTAAAGGTTTCTTTAATTTCGACGACTATATAGATTACGCTTTAAAAAATGATCGGCCATCGACAGCAAATGGAATAGTTTGACGACAGTAAAGATTGCCTGCTTATTACAAAGATTTGATAATTAATTTTGTTGTGACGGTTCAAAGTGCGTAAATGTCTTAAAACTCTTTCAATTGAAACAATTAAATGCAAAGTACTAGAATTTGAAATTGAGTAATTGCCAAAATATTAGTTTGCTGACATATAATGTCGCATTTCTAACAAATCAGTCCAAAATGTGAATTTGATAATGTTGTATGTTGTATATCCAGCGGTAAGTTCAACATAAAAGAGCTCAAATCTATCACATCATTAATTGCTAATTCCAATTATTTTTAATTTATTGAAGTGTCAATGCTATTTTATATACGATTTGATAATGTAACACCGTCCTTTCATAATCGTCAATATTTCATACCAAAAAGAAAATTATTTGGCCATATGAATTCAAGTTTATATGTCTGCAATTAAATGAGAATTTTTTGTCACCCATAACAACCCCATTTGTGTATTTTGAGTGGAGTCAGAATGGGGCAAGTTTAAAAATGTTTGTCTTACGCAGTAGGTAGAGTGACTTACGTATGGAGTGTTTGGTTGTATTTGTTGGTCATGGTAGATGCTCAAGAATGAAGATAAAATATTTAGAATTGCGGACTTGAGTTTTATGTTTGTTTTTTTACAAAATTCTCTTCCACCAATTCTTCTGCTTGTGAATGTGTTGGTGATTATAATCTTCTATCATATACTCACTTAAATATCATCCATTTAAATTTGCTAAATACAAGTTATGACAAAAATTCAAAACAATTGAAAGTGATTTAAAGTCTAATGCTCAGAAGATTTGTTTTAACATTTTGATGACAGCTGATAGAGCCAGACGAGTTAGCATGTGTGTCTTAGTACTAGGCAAAACCTTATAAATCTCAGTGATCATCATGGTGGAAAAAACATTCGTTCATTTTTCAGGACTTAAATAGAGCGGCGTATTATATTTTTTACTCGCTTGATACTAGTCGATAAATGGTAGTGAGAAATTTTGAAATTTGCAATTTTTTTGGTTTTGATAACTATTCATGACGCACGTCGTCGTGAATAAAACGTAAATTTCTGTTTATCGTGGTCACTTATCGCTTGGGGCCACATTGACTATTGGTTTTTCATTATTCCTCATAACATTATGAATTATATAACATTATAGCGTCCGCGATATATATAAAGTGCGGTGTAAAGTACAAATTACCTTAGAAAAGTGTCAACATTTAACTAAAGCACAGACGATTATTTGAAGTGTGTCGATAAGAAAGAGGACTGTTAATTTTGCCTTGTTTTTACTTTCATTTTAGCCGCTAAATTAATTATATTGCTCTCTTTAAATTGTGACTTTATAAGACAAAAACATTTTCATGCGACAATTGCTGTTCAAATAATTTCCTAGTTATATTAAAGTGAGTTAAATGTGAATGAAAATAGCTATCTTGGGTGGACAAAATGCTTTAGGGTGGACAAAATGAATAAAGTGTGAAAAGCGGACAAAAAGACTAAAATGCAGATCCGCTCCGTCTTATGCATCACAAGGCTTTAAATCGGTTTTCCGATTAAAGATTGCTTATAACTGTAATAATTATCGCCCGCAAAACGTTTTCAAAATTTGTCGTAAGTGTAGAATTCATAAAAGCGTGCTATGTGGCTATCTCTTTTTTAACTAATATGATTATTCACACTGAGAAAATCGTCGCCAATCTATCGTTTATTTGTTTTGGGGCTTCTAAATGCACATCGGTGAAACGCGAAGGTGATGAACGCATTTGATAACTGTGAAACCGTGACTCATGATAGTGGATCTGCTTAGCAACATTTTGTTTTACATATTGGAAAATGAATCTGTTATACATATATCTTTCAATCTAAACTATAGTTGTTTACAATATCCATTGATGGGGAATGTTCTGCACTCTAAACTAATAAAATGTGTCGGATATGAATTGCAGATGTGATGATCTATTCTTGACTTGCAGGATACGTCATGGTCGCAAAGTTGGATGATTTTAAAAAAGGATTTTATTTATTTACAATGCAAATTTTATAAAACATGGCAAGCATTCCATTGTTTCCTTACTCCCAGGGGGATGATTGCGACCCACCAATAGTTGATCAATGCGTGGGAATTTTTAAGACAACAACGCTCTTCAAGCTAATAACATCTCAACCCTCAAATGTCAATCTACGTACCATTGATTGTTCTTCTACTATATGAGTGGGAATCAAGATGTCGGTGCAAGTTTAAAAATGTGTTACTTATGTATGGAGTGCTTTGTTGTATATGCTTGTCTTGGTAGGTGCTCAAGATTTAAGAGAAAATATTTAGTGTTGTTATGTTATGTTATCGAAGGTCAATTGAAAATTAATTACTCTTTTAGTCTGTATATTTAGTGTGCACAAACAGTACTTAAAACAGTAAAAAACTTTTGGAAATTTATATTCTCAAAAAAAAGGCATTTCCTTTGCCGTATATTTGTGTAAAGTACGAATTGCTTTGAAAAAATGTCAACATTTATCTTAAGCAGGGACGATTATCTAATTAAAGTGTGTCAATATAAATACCTTGTGAATTTTGAGTTATTTTTACTTCCATTTAAGCCGCTAAATTTATTATGTTCTTTTCACTAAATCGTGACTTTATACAATAAAAACAAATTGATTCAAGAAACGCGCTCTGCTAATGCAAACGTAAATGTCCAATGAATCAATGAGAATATCTGGACAGTCTGTAAAGTATATTCATCGATCGCAATGTTGAGGGAAAATTGCATGTATTGAGAAAAATTCCAAATCGTGGCCAAAGATTTGCCAGGCAAAAGCGAATTTTCATGATGATTATGATAAGCCGGCATAAGTCTTTTAATGAAGTCGTAATAACAATAAATCAAGAATAAAAATAAAAGGTTTTATATTAATGACGTCTTTAAAAGACGTCTTCTGACAAAATTACAATATTTACATGAGATTGCAAATGGAAGCAGATATTTACAGGGTGTTAATTCTCATATGAGAAAAGTAGGAAGCTTGGATGACAGGACAAAATGGAAGGAACAACATTTAATGGAGGCTAATTGGATTATTATTTGGTTATATTTGAAGCCTCGTGTAAATATTTATTATTTTGTTCTGAACATATCTTAAGGCAAAGATCAAACGTCATTTAATAAAGAATCTTTTTTATTTTTTAATTACTGTCGTAATGGCTCTATTAAAAGACTTTTGTTGGGCTATCACGTTCATAGTGAAAAGATTTTATGTTAATTTTATGGTCTGTTGAGCAACACACTTTCATCTAGTGCCGCATTTAACGTTATATGCAAACACTCCATAGAATTGATTTGCAGTTTATAGATTTGATTTGTATCTAACGGTATACGTTATAATCTTACTCGTTTGGTGTTTCGTTGAGGCAGATCTAGGTAATCAATTTTTAATAATTGCTTTAAGTATATTTTACACAGTGCTGTAGAAGTGGAGGGACGCTATTGACAAGAACATCAAGAGAACCCCTCATCTGACTAATTTAATTCTACAGCACTGATTTTACACTGAACATTCACATATAAAATTTAACCTTAGTGAGGGCCTGAGCTGAAAATGTCTTTTAAATATAGATTGTTCAAGTTCAAATATCGCCCAACTCATGTTTCTTTGTCGAATTGCTAACAATAATGGATACATTTCACTGCATCATAGGATGATACATGCAAATAATCTTATCAGTTGTTACATTTACCAAATTCCAATGGGAAGTGTAATGAATTTCCTTTTTTGGTTAAGTCCTCTTCTTCAACATGCGTCAACATGAAAAAGTACAACATTCACCTTGTCTCAATTTCAAAAGAAAATACATTTCAACATTCGGTTCCAAAATTCAGGAGAATTCAACAACAAAATATACGTAAAGATTGGTCATGGTGCAGCTGAAGCTGTGAAAAAACTATTGATCAATCAAAAGTTAGGATTGGGTCAACTATCAGTTTTTATTCAATCTAAATTTCATATGATAAACGGTTTAGATTACTACTTATTATAACAAAGACAATGAAATTTTAGATTAACAAACTTGCTTCTATTGAATCTCGATTTTACGACTGGTTACCATATTCAACTATTTATAAATGTTTATTCATTCAACTTTACCTAGAGACTGAAGTATAACTAAGCACTTAGCTATATTCTGATCTACATAATTATTGAACTTATCATTCTCCACCCTTCCCAATTAACTTCTCATCTTCATTTCTTATAACCTTTTGTTGATTGGATTATAACACTTTTTGATGTTGGTCTATAATATTCTCCAGCAGATGTCTTTACTTTATCGTTTCTTACTTTACAATCGTCAACAAAGTAAACTTTAATAATACTTCCAACAATCCATTTCCTCGTATGGTATTATTGTCTGCAATAGTTACAAAATACCCGAACCTTACGTCACGATTTTCGACATCTTTCTTTTTTGAGGTAACAAAAACTGAAAAACATTTCGATTTAAATGTTTTCAAAAGAAACTCACATTTTTTTGTACAAATTCAACTCTTAGTCGTGGAACCTTTGTCTCATGATCCCCGAGGTCCTTAAGGTAGGACCCGTCATCAGGATTGTTTGTTTGTCTAGTAATAGGGGATTGAGATACAAAAAAATTGCTACCTCTAATAAATACGTATTTAGTTCGAAAGGTTTATGGACTTAATACCCACTTTGCAATTTCAAAGCTAGCTTAAAACTCCTCACAAAAGCTTCTGCCCACCCATTATGACGAGGAGACCCCAGGGATAATAAATTGCCATTTAATGCTTTATCAGGTCACAAATCTTTAAGTTGTTCCCTGTTGAAAACATTAATTATGATCCTTAGCTCTTTTACTGCTCCAACTAAGTTTGTGCCGTCATTGAAGAGTAAAAATGATGGACAACCTCTAGTAAAAATTACCTTCTGATTGTTTGTATGAACTGCATCGTCGTGTTGCTTTTAGATGCTTTATGCACAGGAATTAAGGCAAAGTCATGCCCTTTAATAATCCAATACTCTCTCCTGATTCTTGCAATGGTTGTTGCAACTCCCAAGTTTCCAAATGCAGTAGCTTCTCCTTTCATAATTTGGAATATTTTGTGTTTTTGCCAAGCAAAAATCATCCTTTCTTCCTCAAACTTAAAAAATGACGTTCTTATAAGCAAATGGTCTCAAACTTATAAAGTCACATTTCAACTTTTTCTTTGAAACGTCCTCGAACTTTCCTAATCAGATAAAGACGTTTACGTTCTATCTCATTCGGAGTGATATTGTGCTCTTGACATTACACTAGTTTTATCTAACTTCATCTTGGCTTTCAACTTGTGCGTGTTTTGAAAGAGGCATATAAGTTTTTGCAAGTAAGAAACTCTGTCCTTGTCAATGATACCCATCCTTTTCACGGATTTAGCTAAACCTACTCTTTCTCCCCTTTGCATTTCTTTATATATCTCATTATTATCAAGCTCCATAGCCTCTTTGGCCATTCTTCTTGGGATTTACGCATAAGTTCTGGTATACTGAGTGAAGTATCGTCAGCAGGGTTTTCACACTCGAAATGTGTTTTTATTTGATTCGTTTGTATTACTTGTAATTTCTCCAACACAGTTGGGCGGAAACAGTTTATAACGATTTTTCTGATTTGAGATTCAAACTTGTGTAACGGAACTGTCTGTGAACAAAATAACTTCTCTGATTAGTATTTGCTTTTCGTCTTGAATACTATTTCATAATGTGCTTGCTAAAACTGCTGCTTTTATCACGGAATGCTTAACTCCTTCTGTTGTGATTTAGCTGTGACTCTCTTCCTTTACCTTCCGTTTGTATACGTACATGTCTCATTTGAAGCCCGTGCTGATAAGTTTGGTAGCTCTGTGTGATAATTGGAAGAGATTATTTAAGTGTTCATTTCTCTACAGAGTTGAGAATCCAACTCTAAACCTGACAGACAAAAATCCTGCATTCCAATCTTTGCTGTTTTCAGAGACGAAGCTGTATACCATATGGGATATTATATTCTTGCTATTCAAATGCGAGTACTTCCTTTTGTCATTGTTTTAGTTACGCGTCTGTCATAACTTTATTTTTCAACACCTGTTTCTAATTACACCATTAAACACCAAGTACATTTTCTTCATTTTCCATATGGGTTAATTAGTTTACTCAATTGCTTTGTCTTGAATTCATTTGATGTCTTTGAAGCTACCTTTCGCAAGGATTTTATATGTTTTGTCAGAGATCTATTGCTTTGTAAGATTTATCGACTGAACCCAAGATATAATCTACGCATGAGTCATCTAAAATTAGATGGTGCAGCTCTTAGATCAAATTTTTCTGTCTTTCATTTTTTAAACGTAGTTTGGGCAATGGTAGGAGTTTGTTGATCGTCAAAAGAACTGGTATCAAAGTGTAATGAAATATTAACGGTTATCTGTTTACCGGACAATGTGTAACCCTCCGTTTTCGTTCAACGACGTTTTAAAAGTGTGCTCGTATCGCTCCGTTTTCGTTCAACGACGTTTTAAAGTGTGCTCGTATCGCTCCGTTTTCGTTCAACGACGTTTTAAAAGTGTGCTCGTATCGCTCCGTTTTCGTTCAACGACGTTTTAAAAGTGTGGTCGTATCGCTCCGTTTTCGTTCAATCACGTTTAAAAAGTGTGATCGTAGCGCTCCGTTTTCGTTCAATCACGTTTAAAAAGTGTGATCGTATCGCTCCGTTTTCGTTCAATCACGTTTAAAAAGTGTGGTCGTAGCGCTCCGTTTTCGTTCAATCACGTTTAAAAAGTGTGGTCATATTGCTGCGGAGAAAGCGATGTCTTCGGACAATTCCGCTCCGGTGCAGTATAAATGCAAACCGGTTCTGTTACTTTTTTGCGCTGTTTTCCGAGCAATCCGGAGTAGTGTAAACGTACTCTTAGTGGAAATATTATGGTTAGAATCTTTGTGATTAACTATATAAATAAACCTAATAATTAAGAAAAAAATGAAAAGACAATCTTGTAAAAACATAACAATTTGTTAAAATTTTAATACTGGTAATCTTTTCTCTTAAGATATACAGTTTATATAATATATTGTATATTCGAGTCACTTTGAATAGTGTTTTATAAATTGTCTTATAACCAGACTAGGAACAAGAAGTTTAATAAGTAACTAAATATACACACTATTTTATTATAATCTTGCGCAATGAGATTTTTACTAGGGCTTCACTTTAAACTTAATTTGAGAACATTTGAGGACCTTTATGACTTTTTCTTCCATGTTGGTTTGGTTTTTGGTACTAGTTCTTCGTCTTGAGATATATCCTCTTCGATAAAATTTCCCTCTAGCTCCTTGAGTCTACTGATTCGAAATGTTCTATATTTTTCCAGCTCGCTTTCAAGATTCTCAATGGTACGCTCTGCTTCGTGTAAAATATTCATAATATTATCAGGAATTTCGTATTGTCTCAAAGCTCGTGAAAGTTTATGAAGTTTGTCTGCAATCTGGGTTTCCCTTGATATTGCAAGAATAGAATAGTTTTCTATCTTGCAGCAGCCTTGGCAACGGTTTGTAACAATCTCAAGTCGACTAACTCTATCCAGTGAATCAGTTTGAATCATAATATAAATAATAGACAATGTCGTCACAATCGATTGAATCATCAAAGCCAATTTTAAGGTGCGAAATTTGGCTAATTTCGCAATGAAACTTCTGAAATTAGATAAAAAATCATTACTCTTACTTATTATGTATAGTTAGTTTATAAATTTATCTTGCCAGCTAAGCGCATTTTAGAGGAAACGATTTTATGTTTTGCAGAGTTCTATTTTTTGTTTACAGTAAACAACGGACGCAGTCGCTTGGTCGCCGCTCAAAATCCTCTAACCAGCCGAATATGGATGGCGTTTAAAGAAGAATGGACTGTGAATCTTATGTTTTCAACGTAAGTAAGTCGATTCCAAACTAACTTAAAATAAAAAAAATTTAAATTGCTCACAAAAAAACGTTCAGAAAAGAGATTCAAGAGCCTAGAAATTCTGTTGTGCTAAATGAATTGTTGATTTTGAGCATTTTAATGTATGTAAAGTTTATAAATGAATTCATCCTCAATTCTTCGGCAGTCAGAATGATCACTACAATTTATTGCGGATGTTGTAACAGTTACCACTAAATGTAATGTTTAAAAGTCCGAAACGAGCTTAATTTACTCAAATACAATCTTTTTTTACTTGGCAATTCTCTGCTTTACCAGTTCGCGCGCTGTGTATTGCCGAAGTAAATGCAAATAAAAAGGTCAGCAAAGATCAACTTTTAGAAGTGATTAAAGATCGCTCTACTCCTTACCACCCACCACAGTAAATATATGAAAACAACTTCGGTTCAACTGAGTAACGAATTAAAACTCATAATTAGTCGCAAGTAACTTTGTCGCAGTAAACTACAAAATTATACCCGACAAGTCTTATAAGTAGGATCATAATGTGAGTTGCTCAGATCATAATGTGAGTTGCTTTGTCTAGAATTCAGCTTCAGGGTGATTTGAATTTGTTTACGACATTGTAACATTGTTGATATCCCAATAATCAAAATATGTTAATTTTTGTGTGATTGCCAACAAGTTATACTATGATTTGTATTTAGATGCAGTGAGTCTTAGCTAGTAATTATGGTAAGGTTTTTTGATAAAAAAGGTTTTCATGTACTTTCTTATTGTAATAAAGATATAAACGAGACTATTTGTAAGCCCTTAAAAGATTTTGTAAGCAAATTAATATGTAAAACATAGCGAAGAACAAGACCAACTTTGTGCTTTAAATTGATGTTTCTAAGCGTATCAAGTAACAATGTGCATATTATACCTAAATTTTTTTTTGTTAAAATTGAGTAACAGCATCTCGAAAAGGATTGAAATACACTGTTTTTTATTTTCATATTTAATTAGTTAAGTTATTTTGTCATTGAGTACACGTGTGTAGTATACGTCATGCGCATATATGTATAATAAATTTTACCGAGAAAAAGTCCGAACAATTTATATGATTAGTTATCAATAAACCTCCTGAAAGTCTTTTAATCAATCAACCATAATCACTGCTCTAAACAGCTCTTCAAATGTAGAGTAAAATTATATTTTTTTCACATATTTTGGAAATGAGGGAAACTAGTAATTTCGAGTTTCGTTTATAGCAACGCGCATTTTTTCTTTCCTTCAGTTTCAGTTTTATTTTCATAGCGTATGCAACAGTGCTACATGTACTTGTTATTCTTTTAATTCTATTTATTTAAAGACATTTAACGTAAGTCCCCGTTCGCACTACATATTGCTCTCCGATTTAATTTTGCCTTTAAGAAAATTTATTAAGAAAATTACCAACTAATTTTACAGTTATAGCAACTTTTGTGGTGTTGCCAATTGAAATCTTTATAGAGTGCTATATGCTGCCGTATTTGAACCGTTCAGACAACACTCCGTCATATGTGAATTTGTCTAGAATATTTGATCGTTCCATAGATTTCCTTACGAGAATTGACATTTTTATTTCTTTTTATTATCTTACCTGTTGTAAACCATAGTAAAGGTTTCTTTAATTTCGACGACTATATAGATTACGCTTTAAAAAATGATCGGCCATCGACAGCAAATGGAATAGTTTGACGACAGTAAAGATTGCCTGCTTATTACAAAGATTTGATAATTAATTTTGTTGTGACGGTTCAAAGTGCGTAAATGTCTTAAAACTCTTTCAATTGAAACAATTAAATGCAAAGTACTAGAATTTGAAATTGAGTAATTGCCAAAATATTAGTTTGCTGACATATAATGTCGCATTTCTAACAAATCAGTCCAAAATGTGAATTTGATAATGTTGTATGTTGTATATCCAGCGGTAAGTTCAACATAAAAGAGCTCAAATCTATCACATCATTAATTGCTAATTCCAATTATTTTTAATTTATTGGAAGTGTCAATGCTATTTTATATACGATTTGATAATGTAACACCGTCCTTTCATAATCGTCAATATTTCATACCAAAAAGATTATTTGGCCATATGAATTCAAGTTTATATGTCGGCAATTAAATGAGAATTTTTGTCACCCATAACAACCCCATTTGTGTATTTTGAGTGGGAGTCAGAATGGGGCAAGTTTAAAAATGTTTGTCTTACGCAGTAGGTAGAGTGACTTACGTATGGAGTGTTTGGTTGTATTTGTTGGTCATGGTAGATGCTCAAGAATGAAGATAAAATATTTAGAATTGCGGACTTGAGTTTTTATGTTTGTTTTACAAAATTCTCTTCCAACAATTCTTCTGCTTGTGAATGTGTTGGTGATTATAATCTTCTATCATATACTCACTTAAATATCATCCATTTAAATTTGCTAAATACAAGTTATGACAAAAATTCAAAACAATTGAAAGTGATTTAAAGTCTAATGCTCAGAAGATTTGTTTTAACATTTTGATGACAGCTGATAGAGCCAGACGAGGTAGCATGTGTGTCTTAGTACTAGGCAAAACCTTATAAATCTCAGTGATCATCATGGTGGAAAAAATATTCGTTCATTTTTCAGTACTTAAATAGAGCGGCGTATTATATTTTTTACTCGCTTGATACTAGTCGATAAATGGTAGTGAGAAATTTTGAAATTTGCAATTTTTTTTGTTTTGATAACTATTCATGACGTCGTCGTGAATAGAATGTAAATTTCTGTTTATTCACTTATCGATCGGGGCCACATTGACTATTGGTTTTCATTATTCCTCATAACATTATGAATTATATAACATTATAGCGTCCGCGATATATATTTAAGTGCGGTGTAAAGTACAAATTACCTTAGAAAAGTAGAATAACATTTAACTTAAGCATAGACGATTATTTGAAGTGTGTCGATAACAAAGAGCACTGTTAATTTTGCCTTGTTTTTACTTTCATTTTAGCCACTAAATTAATTATATTGTTCTCTTTGGGTGGACAAAATGCTTTAGGGTGGACAAAATGAATAAAGTGTGAAAAGCGGACAAAAAGACTAAAATACAGATCCGCTCCGTCTTATACATCACAAGGCTTTAAATCGGTTTTCCGATTAAAGATTGCTTATAACTGTAATAATTATTGCCCGCAAAACGTTTTCAAAATTTGTCGTAAGTGTAGAATTCATAAAAGCGTGCTATGTGGCTATCTCTTTTTTAACTAATATGATTATTCACACTGAGAAAATCGTCGCCAATCTATCGTTTATTTGTTTTGGGGCTTCTAAATGCACATCGGTGAAACGCGAAGGTGATGAACGCATTTGATAACTGTGAAACCGTGACTCATGATAGTGGATCTGCTTAGCAACATTTTGTTTTACATATTGGAAAATGAATCTGTTATACGTATATCTTTCAATGTAAACCATAGTTGTTTACAATATCCATTGATGGGGAATGTTCTGCACTCTAAACTAATAAAATGTTTCGGATATGAATTGCAGATGTATTGATCTATTAGAGAGCTTAAGCAACTACGTTTTACTGGACGGCAACGGCAAGAGGAAGTTGTTTTTATTTCCGTTCTGCGTTGTATGTATTTTGTTTACGCCGTCGGGCCTCCGCGCCGACGTGAAAATACTTGTTCGAAGGTTGCCTCTAAAACCTCTCTAAAATTAACATGGCTGACAATTCAAAGAAAATGGAGTGGACAGATGAGCACGATTTATTGTTGATGAGAGAAATGATGGTTAGTGATCTGTTCCACTACAAAAAGGGAAGCCCCAATCGGGGATTAGTATGGGATTCTATTGTCGAAAACTTAAAACGGAAGCGCCAGTCTTTACTTTAAAAGACAAGAGAAGTGTTCGAGACCGGTGGAGTCTTTTAAAAGCTAAGTTCAAGCAGAAGATGCGCGAAGAAGAAAGGGCAAGTGGCATTGATATCGACGAACTGTCGGAGAAAGAAAGTTTGATTGAAGAGTTGTGCCAAAAAGAGGACAGCTTCCTTGAGGTAGCATCAGTTCAAAAGCAAAAGGAAAATGCAAATCCTATTGATATAAGGATGACAGCCTTGGAACGAATGGGCGAAACAAGTAAGAGAAAATCTGATTGGCAAAACTCTGATGTTAAGTTTAAGAAAGTACGCCGCGGAAGTTGTGAATTAGTCGAATATTTGAGAGAAAGATCAAGCAAGGAAATTGAAATCCGTCGTGCAGAACTAGAAGTAAAGCGAAATGAGCAAGAAATACAAAATCAATTGAGTACCCAAGCAGCTACACAACAAACAGAAGTCTTAAAATGATGCAACAACAAAATCTAAAAATGATGGAGAGCCAAGCTTTACTTCTTCAGCAACAACAGCAATTGTCAACAGCATTTCTTGACATTATTCAGAGGTTCACAACCAAGTAAGATTGTGTTGTCACTTACAAGGAAAGAATTCTTAACTGTTGTGTTTTAGCAATCTGTGTAACTATGAACTTTTAATGTTTTGTTATTTGAACTATAACAACTTTCTCACTTACACTTGTCAGTATTTACATAACAAGTTACATACTTGCTAATTGTTTGTGTGTTTAATAATGAGTCATTTTGGCATTCATTAATTAGTTACAAAGTAATTCTCCAAGGTTGGAGGATCTAACTGAAAAAACTTGGATGTTATATTTCCATACATGCAAGTGAGTGAATTTCTTAACAACGCACAGACAATATATGCTTTCCCAACACTACTTAGACCTATTTTGAGGTTTTTTTTGAAGTCCATGAACCGGAATGAGTTGATCACATCTCCAAATAACCATTCCACAGACACTCTAACTGAACTCATTTGCTTGTTGAATTCTTTCATTCTGTCTGTGATTACCCCATGCCGAAAAGGAGCTTGTAGATGAATCCTCTGTGGATAAGCTGGATCCCCATATATGCATAATGGTCTCCCATCCACAGAAAAAGCATTTTGTTCCAGGTCTTGAAGGAAGTTTGAGTCAGCCAGCATACCAGCATCATGTTTTTCCTTCTGTAATATAGAAAGTATTTGCCTGAGTTATAGACTGTTTTCCTTGTACAATATAGTGTGTACAATAATATTTTCATTTAAATAATATAAGCATACCAACTGGACCAAAAATATGTGCAATCAAACCATTTGGCAATGCCACACCCTGGAACTTCAAAGAGTGAACTCTTTTATGGCCATTGTAAACAATTCGCTGATGTTTTGTTGGCCGTGAAATTGGTCTGACCGTTCCATCAATAAAGCCAAAGCAATTTTCATAAGGTGCTCCTTTTTCATGGATGGCATTGGCATAAACCTGTAGATTTTCTGGACTTAAAAGATCATGGTTTCATTCTGTAATTTTTCGCTTATGATAATTATAAATAAAGTCAATGATGGTATTTGCAATCATACACAACTCAGGAACTGGTCGCCCAAATCTGCCAATCATGTCTGAAAATCGACAAGGGTAAGCAAGACGATTTAAAAGAATGCATAGCCCCTCCAGTCCAGAACATGTTGTCCTTTGTGGACACTTGACTATTTCAGGGATTCTAAGATTTTGTTGGAGGAAAATCAAATCGTGTTTGTTGGCTCGGAATTCTACTTTACATTCACCCTCACTCAGATTATCTAAACAAAATGGCTCATAATTTTGAATGGAAGCTCTGGGTTCCTTGATTTATATGCCTTGTACAATATGATCAATTCATATTCTGTAATATAACCTTCTTCAAAAAGCACAAGACAAAAGTTTCGTATTGTTTTAAACGAAGACATGAAAAAGAGTTCACTTTCTACCGCCGCTTTCTATTACGAACTTTGCTTAACTGTTTTAAATATACGCGGGAACGTCATGCTCGTCCCAGTCTTCCGCGATCTCTCACAACGCCGTTGTCGGATAAAACGTTGTTGCTTAAGCTCTCTATTCTTGACTTGCAGGATACGTCATGGTCGCAAAGTTGGATGATTTTAAAAAAGGATTTTATTTATTTACAATGCAAATTTTATAAAACATGGCAAGCATTCCATTGTTTCCTTACTCCCAGGGGGATGATTGCGACCCACCAATAGTTGATCAATGCGTGGGAATTTTTAAGACAACAACGCTCTTCAAGCTAATAACATCTCAACTCTCAAATGTCAATCTACGTACCATTGATTGTTCTTTTTACTATATGAGTGGGAATCAAGATGTCGGTGCAAGTTTAAAAATGTGATTTTTTAAGTAGAATGAGTGGCATACGTAGGGTGTTACTTATGTATGGAGTGCTTTGTTGTATATGCTTGTCTTGGTAGGTGCTCAAGATTTAAGAGAAAATATTTAGTGTTGTTATGTTATGTTATCGAAGGTCAATTGAAAATTAATTACTCTTTTAGTCTGTATATTTAGTGTGCACAAATAGTACTTAAAACAGTGAAAAGTTTTTGGAAAATTTATTTTCTCAAGAAAAGGCATTTTCTTTGTCGTATATTTGTGTAAAGTACGAATTGCTTTGAAAAAATTTCAACATTTAACTTAAGCAGGGACGATTATCTAATTGAAGTGTGTCAATATAAATACCTTGTGAATTTTGAGTTATTTTTACTTTCATTTTAGCCGCTAAATTTATTATATTCTTTTCACTAAATCGTGACTTTAAACAATAAAAACAAATTGATTCAAGAAATGCGCTCTGCTAGTGCAAACGTAAATGTCCAATGAATCAATGAGAATATCTGGGCAGTCTGTAAAGTATTCTCATCGATCGCAATGTTGAGGGGAAATTGCATGTATTGAGAAAAATTCAAAATCGTGGCCAAAGATTTGCCAGGCAAAAGCGAATTTTCATGATGATTGTGATAACCCGGCATAAGTCTTTTAATGAAGTCGTAATAACAATAAATCAAGAATAAAAATAAAAGGTTTTATATTAATGACGTTTCGTCTTTAAAAGACGTCTTCTGACAAAATGACAATATTTACATGAGATTGCAAATGGAAGCAGACATTTACAGGGTGTTAATTCTCATATGAGAAAAGTAGGAAGGTTGGATGACAGGACAAAATGGAAGGAACAACATTTAATGGAGGTTAAGAGGATTATTATTTGGTTATATTTGAAGCCTCGTGTAAATATTTATTATTTTGTTCTGAACATATCTTAAGGCAAAGATCAAACGTCATATAACAAAGAATCTTTTTTATTTTCTAATTACTGTCGTAATGGCTCTATTAAAAGACTTTTGTTGGGCTATCACGTTCATAGAGAAAAGATTTTATGTTAATCTCATGGTCTGTTGAGCAACACACTTTCATCTAGTGCCGCATTAACGTCATATGCAAACACTGCATAGAATTTATTTTCAGTTTATAGATTTGATTTGTATCTAACGATATACGTTATAATCTTGCTCGTTTTGGCTGTTTCGTTGAGGCAGATCTAGGTAAGCAATTTGTAATAATTTCTTTAAGTATATTTTACACAGTGCTGTAGAAGTGGAGGGACGCTATTGACAAGAACACCAAGAGAACCCCTCATCTGCCTAATTTAGTTCTACAGCACTGATTTTACACTAAACCTTCACATATAAAATTTAACCTTAGTGAGGGCCTGAGCTGAAAATGTCTTTTAAATATAGATTGTTCAAGTTCTAATATCGCCCAACTCATGTTTCTTTGTCGAATTGCTAACAATAATGGATACATTTCACTGCATCATAGGATGATACATGCAAATAATCTTATCAGTTGTTACATTTACCAAATTCCAATGGGAAATGTAATGAATTTCCTTTTTTGGTTAAGTCCTCTTCTTCAACATCCGTCAACATGAAAAAGTACAACATTCACCTTGTCTCAATTTCAAAAGAAAATACATTTCAACATTCGGTTCCAAAATTCAGGAGAATTCAACAACAAAATATACGTAAAGATTGGTCATGGTGCAGCTGAAGCTGTGAAAAAACTATTGATCAATAAAAAGTTAGGATTGGGTCAACTATCAGTTTTTATTCAATCTAAATTTCATATGATAAACGGTTTAGATTACTACTTATTATAACAAAGACAATGAAATTTTAGATTAACAAACTTGCTTCTATTGAATCTCAATTTTACGACTGGTTACCAAATTCAACAATTTATAAATGTTTATTCGTTCAACTTTACCTAGAGACTGAAGTGTAACTAAGCACTTAGCTATATTCTGATCTACATAATTATTGAACTTATCATCCTCCACCCTTCCCAGTTAACTTCTCATCTTCATTCCTTATAACGTTTTGTTGATTTGATTATAACACTTTTTGATGTCGGTCTACAATATTCTCCAGGAGATGTCTTTACCTTATCGTTTCTTACTTTACAATCGTCAACAAAGTAAACTTTAATAAGACTTCCAACAATCCATTTTTTCGTATGGTATTATTGTCTGCAATAGTTACAAATTACCCGAACCTTACGTCACGATTTTCAACATTCTTCTTTTTACGAGGTAACAAAAACGGAAAAACATTTCGATTCAAATGTTTTCAAAAGGAACTGACATTTTTTTGTACAAATTCTACTCTTTGTCGTGGAACCTTTGTCTCATGATCTCCGAGGTCGTTAAGTTAGGAACCGTCATCAGGATTGTTTGTTTGTCTAGTAATAGGGCATTGAGATACAAAAATTTGCTACCTCTAATAAATTCGTATTTAGTTCGAAAGGTGTATGAACTTAATACCCAATCGGCAATTTCAAAGCAAGCTTAAAACTCCTCACAAAAACTTCTGCCTACCCATTATGACGAGGAGGCCCCGGATAATAAATTGCCATTTAATGCCTTGTCAGGCCACAAATCTTTAAGCTGTTCCCTGTTGCAACCATTAATCATGATCCTCAGCTCGTTTACTTCTCCAATTAAGTTTGTGCCTAAAATTATACGAATTATTTCAATTGTGCACTCACATCCTCACTAGGAATGACATAAAAAGAGAAAAGGAGGATAGAAGTATTAAAAACATATTTGTGTACTCACAGCTTTTATACATATAAACTCTATTATAAATTGTTTTAATTGTTATAACTCATTTTGCCTATTTAATATATATCAATGCAACAAAACCAAAACGGACTGCAATATATTGTGCTAATAAGAATTTTTTGTTGCACTTCCAGAAGACCACGAAAATTTCAAAATTTATTTGCGATTAGGGTAAAATATTATTTGTTTTCTTTTATTTTTCTTATCAATGATATACACCAATCACCTCTTATACTAACTCGAGTCTTTGAAATTTAATATGAAACTTTATTACAGGAAATCATACATATTAAGTGATGCACTAACTTCCCACGATTTATGCATTTACAAACGGAGGCATGCATGTTCAAATAAAATACCCCAATTGTAACGAAAATAGCCATAAATGTCCATCACATGAATGTAAGGGAAAAATGAGAATTAGCGAGCAAAAATTTCTTTTGTGAACCGTAAAATAAACTACGATACTCGAGCGACGGAAAACATAGCCATTGATGCTGAAAAGAAAACTTTCGAAGTTTACAGATTTTTAGCAGAACTCCACGTTTAAAATCAAAAGGAAAAACAAGTGAAATGTGTGCATGGTTGTAGAATATCAATGCAAGTTTTTATGGGATTTATGCGAATAGGGCAAATCGAAAGCATTTTCGTGCTTCTGGTTATGACTTCTTTAGTGATTGGAGTTCTCGAGCGTTATATGGCAGAAAAATCGTAAAGTCATTCAAACATATTTCAAAAGACGAATAATTCTTTGGCCATAAGGTGAAGTTGTTAAGCGGCGAACGTCTCATCATGAGACTCCTAACACAATCCGAAATTGCTATATATACATATATAAAAGGGAAGCCATTGCAACTTTTCATATTTGAACGTGTTTTGTTTATTCAATTGACAATTTCAAAGACACATGAAGAAGTAAAACAGAAAGATTTTGCTTATTAAATAAGAGATGAAAGAAGTAGTATGCTCCTTTTCAAACACATCTGCTGCACCATAATTTTAAATTACTCATATCTCACTAGACAAGCTTAATGTACATTGACAGATACTACAACGTCCCTCCTTTGTAAAAGTCATTATAACGCATTTAAATTACAGCATTGAAGATTTTCTTGTAAATTGTATCTTCTTTGGCGTTCATATAACTTAGGCAATGCTTCATCTAATAGTTATATTACTATAGATTATACTTTTGTATTCATAATACGGTAATGTTATTGCAATGGTACAATGTCTTAAAGTACTCTTTCATTTTTTATCTTACTCTACTTTCATCTTTCCACCAAACCATAACTGTGTTGTTGCGTCCTGGGAGGAGCTACAACGATGCAAATGGTTTGCACAATAGTAAAATCCGAAATCATCCTCTCCGCTTTACCGCAAGGTTTATCACCATCAAATCGTATCTGGTCACAATCAAAACGATTAAATGTGGAATCAACATGCAAAATAATTTCCCTTGCTTGCCAAAAAATACGACAGTTGGTGCAATTTTTCCTCTTATATCAACATAGCTGACAGTCGCACAGTTCCTCCGATATGTTGCTCTTAGTATTGGAACATTTTCGTGTGTTGCTATAAGTAAGTCTGTCATAACTAAACCGTCTTTTTCAAAGTTACATGTCAGTCGCCATTGAGAATTTCCATTTTCATTTAGGTAAACCATTTTTGAAAGAGATAGTCTGTAATCTTCCCATGATGGATTCATTTCATTTCGTGGATGATTCTCAAAGTAAGGAGCCGTTTTGTAATTGTTCGAAAAGCAAACTGTACGACTGAACTAATGTCCATGCGTTTGAAGAGTCAAAATCACAGTAAACTTTTATAAGTTTGTTGTCAGCTGTAAAAATTTTATACCAGCCTTTGGGATAGCCTTTAAAGCTTAAGCATGACCTTGGTTTAGTTTCGCATCGGTCACCAATTATTCCTTCATCGCAACTACAAGATGCACGCTTTCCATTTCTTCCTGACTTGTTGAGGATACATTTTCCGTTATTGAAGCAAAATTCCGATGTTTCACAACAATTGAATGCTTTTGTACAAATGTTTTGGCTCTACAAAGAGAGAAACATATACAAAGAATTTTTGAAAATAGTTTTATGTTTCAATTCTATACTCGGGTTATAGGTTGCAGTAGCGGATCCAGCTCTAGGAAAAAAATTAAAACCGCTAGTTTTAAATTTAAAATATCTTTATTATACAAAATCACTGGTTATAAATTTCTAAAGCATAAAATTAACCAATCGATTTGTTGAAGTAATTTCTTTTGCCGACAGCTAATTTCGCCCGTGATTTGTTGCTTATCATGAACATAAGTATACAATAGAACTTATGCATGAGACGTCACATAGGCTCGAGCGCGCTAGGAGCTCTGGTTTTTGCAGTCAGATTTGATAAACAAACATGGCTAACTAATAGTAGCGCAGCTGAAGTCGACAATTTTTAAAGATTTTCAGTCGATAGAAGACTTTACTTCTTTTAAAACTCTTGTTTGTCTATTTGTAGGCTGGGAATTCATAAACTTATCGAAGTTTAAACAGAAAATGCGACGGTTGAAGATGATTTTGCGCTTAAACAACAGCATGTTGATGATACGAAGAGTAGTCTGAGTAGAGTTAATCTTATGGATAAAATTATTGGAGAAGTTACCTGTCTTTACTCACAAAGGAATCGAGGATAAATTGGTAAAAAATTGCGTCACAATGTGGAAAAACTACCCCAAACGGCGCATATATGTACTTACATGTCACAACATATTGAAAACGAGAACTGAGACTTGATGACGAAGAACGAAGGCTTGAAAATTCACGAATATTATTTTCAATAGCTGCTGACATTAACAATATTTGGATCATATGATGCTACCTAACTAATTTGGCTGCAACTTTTCGTGGTTGACAAAGTTGAATAAACCTTTTTTAAAGGTGTTCCACATTCTACCACATTCTTGCTTTTCTTGAAGCACTACTCATCAAACATAACAAACCTTTTCTCAACACGGGACTTAAGGCTAGCAAAGAATTACAACTCTTTTCTCAACTTATAACACACTCATTCTACCAGTCGTGTCGGCAGTTTCAATTCATCCTTTTGAAATACTACACCTCTTCCAAATCTTCCTTTGTAAATATCACACTATTTAATTTCTATTGCTTATTTCCGTTTACTTATTTCATTCGTTGTAAATATATATGTGTATGTATGGTTTTGAATATCATTCTGTCTGAGGACGACTTTGAAATAAAGTCGAAAATTTACAGTTTACTTCACGTCTTGTTTTGATTCAAATTTTGCATCTCAAGATGTCTTGCTTCTTCGCAATTTGTTTTATATTATAATGAATATGCATTCATTTAAATTTATGAATTTTAATGTAATAAAAAGTTACTTCACTCATTACATGAACAATAGTGTGCTTAATTATAGCATCAGCACTAATAGAAATATGTTCCATTTTAAAGTTTTGCACTGTAAATCGTTTTGGCACACACTCTTTTATTCAATCTTATCTTTTCACAAATACTACATATTTAGTTACTGACTTACTATTTCATCGTTATTGAAAACATCCACTTCAAAATACTGGCATCGATCACTTTGTAGCTTTGTTGAAGAGGGTAACTGAGATACTTGAACAGAAAATAGTTGACAGTCTTTGTCACAAACTTGACATGCTAAACAAGAGCAATCCAGTGCACAGTAATGTAGACATTCATAACTTGAGTCACTTATATTTTTAAAGACGTAATTTGAAGGGAGAAGAGTGGGTGGATGACGTGAAAATTTTACCATGCCATAAATAATACCATTAAGATACAGCAAATGATAAAAGTGTGATACGAATTTGATCCAATTACTCATTTCTTTATTTTCATTGAAACGTACGTAATCTCCTAAATTAAAGAATACCGATTCCTTAAAATGAATTAATTAACTATACACTAGCGATTACAGAAACTGTATGAGAATACTAAGTTGACCAAACTTAGGAGAAGCAATAGAAGTTTGAGATTGAGGAATTGAAGTAAGTGTCCTTTCACCTTTTAACTCTGCTAAACCGGTCACAAACCGAGACTTGTAGCGTTAGGCTCTCTGCTTTTGAGTAGACTTGTCTCGTATGCAAGGAGGAGGAGTGGATAGATTTTACTTACTATTTCATGACTGCTTTAGTGTAAGAAAAATATGATTTAGGTGTTTCGCAAATTACCACTCGCATTAAGTTTGGTCAGCTTAATATTCTTCAAAATGAAATTTAGAAGACCAATTAATTTGAACAATTTCTTGGTTGATGTATAAATTATTCCGTTAGTCTTTCTGCACTCATTTTTTTAAAACTTTGTTATTTCGATAACTTTATTTTTAGCAGATTGTTATTCCAATTATAAACAACAATTTATTGTTCGATGAAATATCAATAGCTATCACTACTTATGCAGCTGTTTGAAATTTCGTGGATGCAGCTGCCTATCTAATTGGCGCTTTCTCTCAAATTTACGAAGAGATGCTAATTTCTTCGGCAACGTTTTTTGATTAAATTTTAATATGGGTTCAGATCAATCAAAATTGAACAAAATGATTTTTGAAAGTAAAAGAAAATAGATAGTCTTAGCAACAGATGTATCCACCAATGAGCAAGATTTTGACCAACATTAAACAAACTTAACAACACTCACTTTCGCTGTCGCTGTGTTTAATAGCCTTTACAACTATGATGAAAAAAAAAACAACGATTAATTCCAATTTATTGACAGAGAATTAGGCATGGAAGATGTTTGCAATTTAATGTTTATTAAAAGTAAAACAAAATTCGAAAGGCCAACACTGCAAAGCTGCAGAAAAAGAAAAATAACATTTGAAATTAAAGACAGCAAACAAAGCTTAATATTCTTCAATAGCTTTACTGCTATTGAAGAATATTAAGGTTGGATGGATTTTACTAATTGCAAATTTCCTTGATAAATGATTTTCAGAATTAATGAAAACCTGTCATTAAGCAATAACAGTCAAAGAACAATATTTCTCTTTATGTTCATCTTATTTTTCCAAACTGTCTTTATAGCGTAAAAAAGACGGTAAGATTAATTTCGAAAAATGATACTTTGAGAAATCGATTTCAAAGAAACTTTGCAAATAATAAAAGGCAATAGCTGCAATTTAATTTAAGAAATTTATGTAATTAACCCTATAGACATATTTTAAGAAGTCTAACAAGTTATTATTACAATCGTACCTTATAGTTGGTATAAATAATAAATATATCCAAATGCCCGATGTTGACTTGAATGATGTTGCTATAAAAGAAATATAGTAGCAAAAATATTTTTCTCAGCTTTTTTGTAATCAGTTTTATGCTAATATTCACCTGCGAACTAAGAGAAAATGCAAAGGAAAGATAAAAGAGCTTATCGGCAAAATAACTTATAATACAAAACATAGATTACGTCCAATTAACTATATATTGATGACATAACTTAACTCGACTATTAATGATTTTACTTTTCATAAATGTGTCTTGAGAGTATTTTAAGCCCTTGTAAGTGGGAGACTTTGATTGGTTGTTTTGACCAAATTGTTTTTATAATGTTATTCCTAAAAAGAAATTTTATATTTAACGAGGGTGGAAGTTGAGCTCATTTTTTTCACTGGGTGGAACGATTTTAGACTTAAAATGCTCCCAAAAGTATAAAAATTTAGAAATATGAATCAAATGCCCACAGCAAGCACCACGGATGCAAGTAATATACTAAGTGACTTTGTAGGTTTGTTCCCATGGAATACTATTTAATTTAGAGGCTCTAATATGATACTTCCTGGAAATTAAGAATGAGTTATTGCCGTACTGTACCATTTTAAATTCGTTTTTTTCAATCCATATTTAACATTTCAATCATTTATTCATTTCTGCGCACCCTCCCAAAGAAAATTTAATTAATCGATTGTGATTGATACATGCATGTCAACCAGTTCTTCACTAGTCCGCAGCGACTGTGTGCTGATTAAGTATTTACATAAATTTCACTACTGAATTTTAAACATTTTAATTTTTCAATACCTTTTTTTGATCAACTATCAATTGATTACACTGTCAATCTAAAAAACATTCCACTTTTGCAAGGTTCAAAATATAAATAATAGGTTAATTAGTTTTTATACATGGGCAAACAATTCCAAACAAACAAAGTTTTAGGAAATTTGCAAGAATGCGAGAATATCAATAATTAGAGGTAGGATAATATTCATACGTATATGCACGTTCTATTTTTTTTAGTTTCCTTTGATATCAATTGTGATTTGTGATAAGGAATTACAGCATATGAATATGTGAATAAGAGCACTCGTATTATCAATCGTCTGGCGCCCTTGTACGCGAACGGTTAGCTTTCAAATCAAAGATTATTGTGGGTTTTTTGTTTTATAAGCATTTTGTTAGAGCCCTTATTAACTGTGCATACATAAGGCAATTTAATGTAAATATGAATAGTTTTTGAAAGTTTTTGAAAAAATAAGAATTGAAAATGAAAATTGAAAAATAATCTGCAATATAGATGTCTGTATGTATTGTTAGTGTACGAGTTTGCTAAAACTTGTGAAAAAATATGTGACATATTTCAACTTTACGTATTATAATTGCTTTTTAGAATTGGTATTTTCAAAAGGGCTTGTTAATAACACGATTCTCGCTGCAAAAATGGTAATTATTTGCTAAATTTTTCTTTCTGATAAATTATTGCAATTCCCAAGTACACATTTTTTGTCTCCACCAAAGGTTTATGCAGATATCGTAAGCTGCTAATTTTAATGGCGTTTTCCTTACTGTTTTGTTTTTATGATACAACCTGTATAAAATATGATCATACTTTTTCCATAACGTAATCCACATCAACCAAAAAGCTGATGTCCAATCAAAATGGAAGAAAGAATTTCTAAGATATCATAAAAACATTTTATTTTGCAACATCACTTTTGGAAAGCTTTTGAATGCAAATTATACATTATTCACATCACGAATAAAAAATTTGTTTATTCGGAAGAAAGCTATAAAAATGTTAAACAGCTGAAGCATACATCAAATATATTGATACATTTCCTCGGAAATTGGTCTCTTCCCATTTTAAACCAATAACTAGGCTATTGGGATATTGAATATATTGAAACTGCGCTGCATAAAACATCTGCTGTAAAAGCATAAGCCAGATGCTGCATGTTTTGCATGTGTTTTTGTCGTCACACTTTCTTTCTATGTCTAAAGTTTAATTCTTTGCTGGAGTTTTACTTTAATTAATATTTTAGAGCAGCATACAGTTTTTAAAAATATAACCGTGTAAAATAAAGCACTGTAAGAAAATGTGTTATGAACGAAACCTCTAAACTGCATGCAAATAGTTGGTTTGATGCTTGATAGCAGAGATAAAATATTTTTAAAAACCTTACATATGTTTAATTTCCTGTGCTTGTTATTGGTTTATCATAAATCGTTGAGATATAGTCTATTTGGTATGGTACAAATTTTAATACTTTAAGACTTTCACCTGGCATCGTAGACAGCATAGAACTCTACATAACTTTAATCTTAATGAACGTTTATTTGGCATGAGTGCAGTCAACTGGAAGTTGCGCTAGTTGCACATGAAATGGAGTATATATTGACATCATTTGTAAATGCGTACATATGTATGCAACACTAGCAACATTATGAACACATTCTTGAATACGCTCTTACTATACTTCATCGTGCAAGTACTCGGTGTTGACAGGCGGAGATCAAGGGGAAAGTTTAATACAGTCTCAAGTTGGTTCTATTAGTGGACGCTGAAGAACTTCTGTAAAGATTTTAGCTTTTTGAAACATTGTTTTCAGAAATAAGTTTAATTATGCTTTACCTAGCCGTGAATGAAGAATTTTGAACGTTTCATGAACGTGAACAGGAAATCGTTATCTGATACCAAGTAAAAGCCCCCATTTAGTTTGACAACGCGTAACATTGCAGTATATACCCTTTTCCATTTTATTTCGATGTACGCTTTTTCTGAAACTGGTCGCATG